CAGCGTCCGTAGTATCCGTAGCGGCGTCTCCTACGCCGCTAGCTTTATAGCAGGAGCCGCTATTACTAGTTACCCTCTTCGAGCCTCTACTATCCTTAATTCCGGCGCTACTATTCATATTTTCAATATTTTTCCCGTTTTGCTGATTTTATACCCGCTATATAGGGAGACTACGTAGTCGTAGGTAGATCGTCGCTACCTATTAAAGGTTACGGTAACGTGACCGTGAGATTAAACGGACTAATAGGAGGCCTAAATTTTAGACTATTAAACGTCGTATACTATAAAGATTTTGCCTATAATTTAATCTTAAACTAACGGTTACGACTACGAGAATACTAGTAGGATTAAAAGCCACTAAATAACCACCTTTAACGTGCCGATAGATCTATACTATACTAGCTAAGTCACCGCTTTAATTAAACTGTTATTAAATATATACCCTTTAACTAATCTGCGGCTGCTTTTCTAGGCTCTTCTTCTTCGTCTTCTACTACCCGAAAAGCCGTCTATAAATTAACAATACGGTATCTAAGCACTATAAAGGGCATCTTATAGCATCTACGGCTAGGGCACGCTAGCCCTAAACCGCTTAGGCACCTAGAAGAGTAGACGTAGGGGGTTAAAATAAAAGGACTAATAACTATCGACTACGAGGCCTACGAGCTTATAAAGATTAAACGGTATATTAGCAGGCACCCTTATACCGTACCTGCTTCCGTAAGGGAGCGGTGGGCAATTAATTTTATAGATTTTAACTGAACGTTCGATAAGGACTCGCGGTTTATATTTTTTACCGACCGTTATAGTGGTTTTACGGCCACCTACGTTATAAAGAGTAAGCTAGTAGTGGATATCCTCGTAATAATTAAGGATTTCCTCGCCTAGGTAGACCGTTAATTAGGCTATAAGGTGCGCGTTTTCAAGTCTAATAACGAGCTAACTTAATCCTACGATATCACCTAATTCCTATATAAAGAGGGTATTCTTTTAGAGGCCTCTACTACCAATACTTAAGCGCAGAACAGGGGTGCCGAATATACTACTACTATAGTTATTTCGAAGGGTTGTACGATAAATATCCACTCTAAGCTACCGCTGTTTATATAGTCTAAGGCTATTCCTATAGCCGTATACGTCTATAACCGTACTCCACGAAGGCAGTAAAAGGATTAGAAAACGCCCTATAAGGTCCTCTTTAAAAGTAAGCCGATTTTATTATACCTTCCAGCCTACGGCTATAAGGCGTACGCGATAATAAAGGACGCCTAAAAGGCTATTAATAAGCTATTAAATCGTATCGCTCCCCGCGCCTATATCGGCTACCTTATCGGCTACGATTCCATAAATATCTTCCGTATCTAGGTGCGTAGCCTACGCCGCTATAACCGCGTTATTCGCACGCGCGATATAGATTTTAACGAACGCGCCTTCTTCCAGGGCGATATCGCTACCTTTAAGGATAACCTCTATTAGTTAACCGAGGAATAACTAAAAGACCTAATTAGTTAGATCGAGCAGGAGAGGGCCAGATATTCACGGCCGTTTATACACGTATAAGCTAAGGAACCCCCCCTTTATATAACTACTTATTTTAAACTTAACCCTTTACCGGGGGTAATTCCCCCCGGATCCCCTTCCTTAACGGCTTTACTGTTAAGGTTATAGTCCGTAATACCCGGCCGTAAGCGGGTAAAGGAGGCTATCTTAAGTCTATTAGGATAAGATTTAGGTTACGGACAGTATAATTTAACTAGTATAGCGCCTAATCACCGTCTATATCAGCCCGATCTACTATTTCCCACTCTACTAGTAACCCCGCTATCGGTTATAGCGCTAACCATAGCCGTGATATTAGGAAACCGTGAATCCTTTACGGTTACAGCTATAGAGTTCTTTATAGATAAAGGAACACGATACTACGATACCCTTATAGTTATGGCTATAGGGCTCCCTATAAATAGGGGAGCGCGACTAATTTAGTAAGGAGATAGCTAGAAAAGAGACTATTAGGTTACTATGTTTAACGCTAGCCGCTACGCCCCTAATATACGCACTATAGATAGGACTCCGCTAACTAAATTACGGTTAAAAAGGACTACTCCTATAACGCTATAACGGCGTTTATCGCCACTACTTAACTCTATAGCCCTAATAGCTATCTCGGAAAATATAAACCCGGCGGTAGCCTCGGCATCGAAGATCTATTCTAAAGACCTCCCTCCTCCTCCGAAAAACCCTCGCGATATACCCTCGTATCCTTACAGCCACCTATTCTAATAGGCATAAAAAGACTACCTACGGAGCCACGAGGGGATAGGGTCGTGGATATAGGTACCGGCGTCCGTAGTAGATAAAAATCAGGTTCTTAATTCGATATAGATAAAAATATATAAATTCGATAAGCATAGATTTCTATATAAATATAAGGTAAGGCTTATAGTATAAGGAGATTAGTAGTATTAATCCTCCTTTAAGAAGATATACGTAGTAACGCTGGCCGGATAGTCGTTCCGCGCCTTAATAGCTATCGCCGCCCGTTTTAATCTTATGCTATTATAATTTAACCTTATAAACGCGTTTATATACACGCCCCTCCCCTATAATATCTTTATATACCCGCCGCTAGGCTTTCTAGCCCCTAAGAGTTATTTACACCTAAAAAAGGCGTTATATAGATTTAAGGAGTCCTTACTGCTTTAGTAAAAGCACTTTTCGGCTATCCTTTTAGCGGACGGTTTTTAGATAGTGCCGTAGGAACTGTGTTATTTTCTGCGACGTGGTTTAATCCTATTCTTCTACGTCGACGATATCGTTATTACTTATAAGGAATAATATAAGGCGTAGATAGAGCAGGCCGTTAATAACCTATAACGCCACTATAACCTATAAGGTGGCGACCCTTTATAGTGGTTCCTTAGTATTAAGGTTATTCGCGACCGCGTCGCCCGTAAAATCTAGCTATTGTAACGCGACTATATTATAAAATTAGAACGCCTCTTAAAGCTAAATAGTAATAGTAAGCATAGCAGTAATTATCGCCTAATATACCTAATTAAAATCGCAGAACTACTACCCTATTTAGGGACCTCGACTAATATTAGAAGCTATTAATAGAAGATAGGATCTAAACTATACGTAGTAGTGATATCGCGGCCTAATATCGCGTTTACGGTATCTAGGCTATACCGCTTTAACGTTAATCCAGGGTCTATATACTATAAGGCCGCAGATTATCTTATCCTTTATCTAATTAATAGCTAATCGTTTATGTTAGAACTAGGGGGTGGCGATACTATCGAAATCTATACTAACGCCTTATTTACCGATAATACCCTCGATCGTAAAAGCAGTTAAGCGTTTGTAATACGCTTATTTAGCGGCATAATAGCGTAGTGTGCTAATAAGCAGGATACGGTTATAATATTAATAATAGAAGCAGAGCTATTAGTGATAGCATAGGGTATAAAAGAGGGCATCTTTATATAATACCTATTATTTAGTATAGGAGTAGAATTTAAGGATCCGGAATTAAGGATCCTATACGATAATAACTAAATAATTCGATTAGTTAATTAGGAGATTAGTACGCTAATAACGCGCCTCCGCTATATCGATATCGACGGCCATAATTACGTTAAGTAAAGGACCAAGGGTAGATCCTCGTAACGTACGTTACGAGCGCGGAAATAGTGGTAGACGGTCTAATAAAGGCGTTATACGGCGAGAAATTTAAGACGTTTAGAACCTAGGTGGGTATAATAGATATACGGGACCGGCTACAGCAAAAACAGCTAAAGCAATTCCGGATAGAGTATTTAGAGGACCTAGAGGATAAATTTAAGTGCGGCTATAACGAATAGATTATATAGCTGGATTATCTACTAGATACGAATAGCTTTAATCGCCTAACTAATATTTAGGGCGATTAAGGGGTATATCGAACAGACCATAGCCTATTCGTGGATTTACGGGATTTACGGTTACGTAATAGGCCGGATTACTAAGAGTATAATCCGGGTAGACACCTCCAGAATCTTCACCACCAATATTACGGTGGCAGGCATTCTCCAACAGTCCGAGAGGGTCATAATACACACATAACTGACTTAATCAATTTTGACCGTTTTTGTGACGATTTTGACTACGCTTTATCTGACATCCCCACGTAACCAGGTACCAAACTAAACACACAACCAAGAACAAAGCAAAGATACTCCTATCATATACGAATTGGAAATGTTTATTGCATTCCACGCTTCCTCCCGAGTCCCCTGGGGTATAAACTACGAAACTACACGGCTTTGCTAAGCTCGGTCAATATACAGATAAGAGACGAGCAAACCGCAACAAAAAAAATGTCCGGCAACATGCCAGAAAGGTTCAAAAAAATGGCCTCCAGAATATGACCCTCCTTTCTTCCTTCTTTGCTTTTTTTCTTCTCTTTTTTTCTTTACATCACAGCCACTGCACCGCAATGTGGTGCTAGACAGATCTTCTCCGCAGCCTCAGAACACTGGCCTCCGTCCAACTTGCTAAACTAGGAGCAGACAGCAGACTGCGAGGAAAACGGGGCGAGAAACACGAGTGACGAAGCAATCTCGATGTCCTTGCACGCTTAGAAGTGGCCGTCCGCTTCCATCGCTCATTTGTTTCGCTCGTGGCACCCGTAAAACACCGCAGGTCGTCCGATAAGTCGTTTCGGGCAATCGAAACCTCAAAGAGAGTATTGAAAAGGAAAATGGCCGCCATCCGTCGTCAGACCTTCGAGTACCTCGAAGTTGTGGCTAGCGGCTTCCACTCGGGAAGCCCACGATAAAGAATAAAGCCATGTTTTTCTGCGTTTTATGACCAAAATGGACAGTCCCCGCGTCTGGTCCGGGAACATGAACGTGAAGTCATCGCCATTAGATATTCAGCCGTCAAAATGTAAACACCTCTTCGAAGCAGCTCTATATTCCGGGTGTCTCCAGTTGGTCCCTGCACAAGGTGAGTCCGCTCTAAGGGTATGTGCTGCCAACCGGCATGGGCCAGTCATCCTCGGTGATGCTGGACCAGAAAACCCAAACCATGACGACGGACAAGAGGGTGAATAGCGTTTGAAAGAGAGCGCCGTCAATGGCACCGTTGGTCCCCCTGCAGATGTGGCTGCTGACAACGTAGTTGAAGATCTGACCGATGGCGAATAGGAGGAGCGCGGCGGTCAGGTAGATCATAGGTCTCGTCTCGCCCAGGATACGCAGGACCAGAATCGTCTCGAGGACAAAGAAGGCGACGAGGAAGACGAGAGGCACGAGCTGGTACAGCACGTATAGGGCGATGTTGCGGTTGGGCAATTCCCAGCTCGAATTCCAGTAACCGGTCCAACGGAAGCCCGTGTCGAGGGTGATGTAAAGCGTACCGCCCAGAAGAATGGCGGCCGAAAGCAGCATCAAGCCGAGTGAGAGCGGGGTGCCGTCGTCAACGATTTGGTAACCCACGATTGCGTTAAGCATGAGGATCCAGGTCGTCGCAATGATCATACCAATGTGGATGCCGGTAAAAGCCTAGAACAAACGTCAGCTGATGGAGCACTCGAAGAGCTGGAACGACAACGCACAATGCGAACAGTGTCCGGCAAGGGAAACTCTCCAACAGTGAACACTTCGGCTATCGATATGATAAGGTATCCGACGAGGAACAATTGCATTTCCCTGTTCCAGTCATGTTAGTACGTCTGCGAGTCGACAATTTTTCGGGACGGCTTGAACCGTGCACCAGTCGCAACAAGCGCAACCAAGGACTGCGGCATTACCTTCTGCCAACGGCTGCCCTCTTCCTGTCTGACCTCCACACAAGGTATACGCTGACCAAGATGGCAAGAGCAGCAAAAATAATCGAACCCAGGTTCCCGATTTTTTGATCATTAGGCAATGGGATACCCGTGAGCTCGCAGCCACCCCATGGCCCTTGCTGGTCGTGCTGGCTGGAAAGCACCTACACAGAATGTCGCCTTGGGTCAGTCCACTGTGCCACAGCCGGAGCCTTGCAATAACCATGCGGCTCCGAAGCAAAGACAATTGAGACGTGGGGTTAAACTCACATTGCAAACTGGCAGTGTCGAATCTCGACAGAAGTTCTGTGTAAAAGACGTCGGTCAGTCGACAGCCCAGGGTATAGGAGATTAAGATTGGCAAAAGATGCTACGCAGGCGGGAGGACTGCTTTCCGCGAAGCTGCATCACGGATCTTACATTAAAGTTGCCGAATTCTGTTGACCCCATTGCGGTTGGCGTTGGAGTGCAGCGAAAGCGTCGCTGACAGTCGGTAAATGTGTTTAATTACTTCCTGAGGAAAGAAAAAAGAAAAGACCGGCGATTGTGGTGATTATGTTGTTTCAGTTGGTGTTGGGAGATGGAGCGGCGTCGAGCGAAGAGTCAAAGAGGCTTGTTCGAAGAACGGCGCGATGCAGACAGAATGCTATGTTTACTCCGTCCTGCTTCCCTTCCTTTTCGTCTCTTCAATTGTCGATGATAGACGAGAGGGCGAGCGAGTCGTGGAGGCGTAATCGTTCGCGAGGAAAGGTGCGGTGCGTAAGCGTGTCGAGTTCGTCGGGTCTTTTGGGTGGCTGGGTGAATTAGGCCGTGGACCGATCTCGTCGTTGCGCCTCGCGGTTTTCCTCCCCGTTTCGTACCGAAAGTTTTCTTTTCTTCCCTTGTCTTGATGCCTCCTTTTGACGTTTGTCGCAGCTTGCAGAACTCGACTGAAGCCGACTGCTTGCCAAGCGACTCTAAAAATTACGTTGCGCGAGCGTTGTGAGGGTTGATACGGTAACGGGGAAAGAAAAAGGAACAGAAGCAACAGGAAAACGGCTGAGGATTTCACAAGCGGGCTCCAAGGTCACTTTACCGGGTAATAACAATCCAAAGGTTCCAAAGACCCGTAACCCAATGGACGAACTGGAACGACGTTTCTTACTGGATCTGGGGGCCCTGGGAGCAACCAGGTACTTGGTCTGATGCCTGCCAAGACTAATGCTAGGGGAACGGCGTTCGCGATTGGTTCGCACCCCTCGGAGGGAGGTGGTACACTGGAGATTAGTCCCACACCCCAGTCCCTTTGCGAAATTACGGATAGCACTATGTACATACGTACTCTATATTACGCTTTTTGTCCTGCAAACGGCCCCTGGTCTGATGTCTGCATTGTGCCACGGTTTCGTACTTTGTAATATGAACTATTAAAACACCGACCACAGATCGGAGCCAGCAGCATGCGATCGATGAATTGCCGAATCACTTTTCTCGTCTCCTGGAAACTTGGAGGCACATTCAGTGTACAGGTCTTCAGGGTGGTTGACTACTTATTCATGGGCAATTGGTGTTAACGTCGCTCTGGATAATATCTGACTGGTACCAAATGTGAGGGTCACTTTAATTACTTAGGTTCTTAGTGCTATGCACATTTGTATTGTGCGTATTTTGTGTTATGCCAATCTACTGGACAGCATGCACTTGCCACGTGATGGCTTGGCTTGCAGTCATTGCTGTTTATAAAGGTTCACCTGCAAAGGACAAATGACGGAGAACCTCTGTTATGTTTATTTCTGGCATCGTGTATGTATGCACGTATGTCCGAAATACCGACACATGCCCTCTACTCGCATTTTAGAGTCGTTATTTGAGGAGAACACCTCGGAAGTGCGATGTTTGCTAGTCTCCAATCAGACCCCAAGCTGGTTCCAGGAGGTGCCCTTGTTCGGGATAGGAATGCCCAAGGCGATGTCCGAGGGGCCTTTTCTGTGCACCATTAGGCTCCCACAGCCAAACACGAAGTTTGCCGAAAATCTGGTCTGATCGAGTGATGTATTTATATCGGCCGAATCGGCGAAATATTTCAATGTCCGATCTACAGTGATATGATTACGGGCTGATGGGATGCTTGGTTTGGGCAGTAGATCTTCGATTCCCAAAGGACATTGCTACAACTGGCTACGTCTATATGGACTTCGTAGCTAGTTGCGTCCTTTGTTCCACAGCTTGAAGACTGATGTTTGACACTGGTTCGGAGAAACCGGGTGACGTGTACTACATATCCTTCGCCACCATTCGGCCGGTGAGTATGAAATGGACCGCCTCGGCACCGCCTTTTTGTTCGACCTTCCCGCATTCGCCACTCCGTGAGTCGGCTCCGGTCGGTGTGCGTGGATGAGAGGGCAACCGGCGCCGTTGATACATTGCAACCCCCCGCTCTGGTAAATGCGCTGTCAGGATGCACATCGAACTCGGAGGATGGAATGAGTCTCTCAACAGCCGATACCAATGCTGTCTTACTTTTCGACGTAGCTGACTGGTTAGGTAGTATGACAACGCCGGCGTTGGGGGGTGAGGGAGTGGGTAGAGGGATTACGGATTAGACAGCGAGCCATGGGAGAGCAAGAACGTTATCTATCCGTTCACCGGTACTTATTGTCCCTCTAGATGATGCTAGAATGATTAAACCTACCTATACTGGGGCTTCTCGGATTAGGTATATTCGATCCTGCTGCTGGACTATCATCCGCCAGGTGATATATTCCGTTGTCGGGCGAGCGCATTCGAGCCTACCTAAGAAGCCGAAAGGTTCCCCGGTGTTTTGTTAAAGACCGAACGGCTCGGTCCCGATCTTAGCGAGAACCCGACTTTCTTTGATGATAAAGTCCCCGTGGCAATACTTGATACTTCGTACTTCGTGCTTTGCACGAATAACCTCCATGCACGCCTTTGGCGGATGCAGGGAATGACACAAGCTATCATCACTCGTACATTACGCAGTTCAATCTACGACGATGTGCGAATAAAAGATCAGGGTAGTCCGCAAAGAGCTGGAGAGGAGAATTCATCCATTCTTGTTTCTGACGCTTGGCGGGGCTCCAATCCTGGGCCTAATCCCGGATTTTTACTTCGAATTCTACACGTGTACCTTACCCTATTATACCGGGTCACTCACCACCGGTATAGTGACGTAATGGCCGACCTATCGCAAGTTAGCCGCTACAGGCGGAGAAAAGAGGCAACTGCCCACCGCACCGCCGGGTTGATAAACTGAATATTGAGCCTTATTAGGTAGGTACGGAGCTCGCGTACTGTGTTAGACGATTAGGTACTGCCGGTACCTTATGAATCGAACGAGTCGTCGATCCCACAAAACGAGTCAGCTTGTATTATGCTTCACGTGTGCGGCTAAATCAGGGGTTGTCCCAGGTCTGGCAGCCTGGTTGGGACAACAGCTTAAGGTTACCACTGGCTTAAGATCCCTAACTGCGTAGCCACTCCGTGGCCACTTCGTAGGCAGTCCTGCGGCGTGAAGAAGGAAACTGTCCCCTCCGTACACAAATGCTATGAGCCTCTACTAACCACGGTCAAGGCAGTAATACGTAAGGAGCTGGCACTGTGGGTAAATTCGGGATAAGAGCCAAATGTCGAGTCTGGCGGGGCTGTACAGCTAGGCAAGGTAGGTACCTAGGTACTCATTAAGTACGGAGTACGTAATTGCCTAGCTACCTTGTGCGCCTACGAAGCAATTATCGGCTTGTCTGCATTTTAACTGTTTAGAAAAGCCCGAGTACGGAGTACAGTGTGTATATTGCAACAGCAGCTGTAAGGACAGGCTGCATGCGTAGCCAGAGAATCTTAATTTTCTGCGACCGACTGGAATTGGGGGGCCACTTCCCTGAAGGGACCCTCCCGAATACCAATGGGAGGATCGGAAACGTGATGGGAAAGAAGATAGGGGAAATAGGACATCTTTTCATCTAAGGCATGGTCGATCCCTCATCTCGCCTTCAGTTCGTCCAGGACAGAATTCACCCTTTTCATTCTCATCTCGACTTTTTTTCGTATCATTTCCCCCTTTCCATCTCATTGTTTTGTCCCCTGACGAACCCGAGGCAGCGAGCTCATTGACATTTTGATGCCAACACGTCCCGCCGCTCCCTGGATAAAATTTACCGACCGCTACGCCGTGGCACATAACGGCCCTCGAATCTCTTCGTTACTGTACTGTCGCTATCCAGCTTATCTGGTTTGGTTTTGCCGTCGCTTCAATATCGCCAGCGTCATTAGTAAGTGACCATTTTATTTCTGCCTCCTGTTTCGTTTTCCCGCATGTTCGATCGATACCGTCCCCCGAATGGAGACAACGGTCGCTTGCGGCCAGTTGCTCTCTTCGGACCCAGAAGTGCATTCGTCCTGCCGGACAGCTGCCACACTGCAGTTGAACGCTATGGGGTTATTGCTACGGTTCATTGGCGCGTCGTGAATCCCTCTGCCATCTTGCAGATGGAACAACGTCTGTGAAGTGGATTCTACGGAGCTGCACCGGGACCATCAAGCGCTATGAGGCTAGGGTTCCCAAGCGTTGGCATTTGGTCAGCTGGCCATCATTTCTGCAGTCAGGTTTGTTCCTTTTATGGCAGGATACAAGATGTTTCGCACTTCAGTTGACCAGGTGGCTCAAGTCGTTCCTCTTTCGAGGGTCTCACGAGGAACAATTGGTCAGCAGGGTGCCGAACGTGCAAGTGTGCGATAGTCTGCAGCTGTGTTTCTCCATCCCTTTTTTTCTTCCCCATTTTTTCCTTTTCTTTTTTCCTCGTTCTTTTGGGCGATGGTGCTGCATCAAGTGCCCAAAAACACGCGCGCTTCAGCCGCCTACTGCCCAGAAAGTCGTCGTACAATGTCGCCCATACCTTTGTCTTTCCCCAAAAGCTGCTATCTACCACGTCCCCCACTGTCTTCTGCGGGAAAACAGCTGGCTTTACTGGTCATTTCGCCGCTACCTACCTACCTTTAGGTAACTTAACTCTAGGGATATACCTCTAGTGAGGTTTCCCAAGGCAAGACCCAAAGCCGCCTTCACAGTATCCAGACAGTGCCCGGGCGGGTTCACCGTTTTGTGACCATATCCAGTTCTCTTGGATGTTGTCCTGGACGGGAACCCACTCGCGTGCATAGCAATTCTCCACTCTATACGTCTTGGCCCCTGTCCCCTTGATCCCCGGGTCCCCACCACGCACCCCCCATGCACGGCTCCGCACCCAAACAGCCAAACAGAGCCGGAGCGATGGGGCCTAAGCTCGAGTGACCACTGACGACTGACACCTTGACTAACTGATGTCGTTTCGTTACTCCCAGATGCCGGTCCTGTGCAGACGCAGACCCTGATTGATTCACACTCAACCCGTTGACCTATAAACAAACTTGCATTCCCAAATTTCCCCTTTACCCAACCCCTACCCAGTCTTTCGCGGAAGGGAGCTGCTGCTAAACAGCCCCATCACCGCCCAATATTCCTTCCTCAAAGGATTCCCGTCTCCCTTCCAATATCCCCCTCCGAACACTGCCTACGCGCCCGGACCTGGATGAACAGGCGACGTCATTGCTAGCGTCTACTACTACCACTGCCACGACCCACCGCGTCGGCTCCAACTCTGCCTCTTATCCACGCCACGACGACATTTCCGGCCGACGTCCTTCCGCAGACTCGGACTCCGAATCGTCCTGGACCGATACGGGGGACATCGCTGAACAGCTCGCCGACGAGGACCCGCTCCGGTATCACCTGTCCCACGATTCCGAAGGCGTCGATGACGAACTCCTCGCCGGGTTAGCGCGACGACACCCTAAATATAAATACAAACAGAAGAAGGTCCGCATCCAGCCCCCCTCGGAGTACGACCGTCACCGCTCCCCGGGCCGGTCTGGTACCATCGACAAGGAGGCCATCGAAGTGCCCCGAATTACTCCAAGACCACCTAGTCGAGCTGAACGGTTGCTCGGACTCATCATGTCGGGCGGGCGCTCCATCCACGGCCTTACAGGGCAGCCCCTGATGTGAGTTCTTTTTTTTTTTCTTTTTTTTCCTCCCCTCGAAACGGACAGCTCTCCCAGGATATAGCTGTGTACTGGACTCAAAGCTGACAACAACCTAGCTACTTCACGAGCATATTCGTGTCGTTAGGTGTCTTCCTGTTCGGCTATGACCAGGGTGTCATGTCGGGCATCATCACGTACGTCGATCTTTCCTTCCACCTCTAATATTACACATTCCTACCTTGTCTACTGGGTAGCCGACGGACGCCATAGCTGACTCTGGACTCTTCTGCTCCTATGTAGCGGGCCCTATTTCATGAACTATCTCGGCCAGCCTTCCAGGGCCACCATTGGCACCATGGTGGCCATTCTCGAGATTGGCGCATTCATTTCGTCTCTAGTGGTTGGCCGTGTCGGCGATGTCATCGGCAGGAGAAAGACCATCTCGTACGGCTCCATGATATTCTTCATCGGCGGCGCGTTCCAGACCTTCGCCAACGGCATGCCCATGATGATGGTTGGGCGCTTCGTCGCCGGTCTCGGCGTCGGTGCTCTGTCTACCATCGTGCCTGTCTACCAGTCCGAAATCTCCCCACCGCACAACCGTGGCAAGCTTGCCTGTATAGAGTTCTCCGGGAACATCATCGGCTACGCAACCTCGGTCTGGGTTGACTATTTTTGTGGTTTTATCGAGAGCAACCTCTCGTGGCGCATCCCTCTTCTGATGCAATGCGTGATGGGTGCTCTGCTCGGTCTCGGCAGCCTGATCATCGTAGAGTCTCCAAGGCAAGTGACGTCCTCGCAAGAGCAAGAAAAAGCAGCAGCAAAGAAAAGGGCCTCCCTCCGAAGTACTCCCCTGCTAACACGCATTGGGCAGATGGCTCTTGGACACCGACCACGACGAGGAGGGCATCATCGTCATTGCCAATCTCTACGGTAAAGGCGACATTCACAACCCCAGGGCACGGGACGAGTTCCGTGAAATCAAGATGAACGTCCTGCTCCAGCGGCAGGAAGGCGAGCGGTCCTACTCCGAGATGTTCCGCCGGTACGGCACCCGCGTTTTCATCGCCATGTCGGCACAGGCTCTCGCGCAGCTCAACGGCATCAACGTCATTTCGTATTATGCTCCCTACGTCTTCGAGTCGGCCGGCTGGGTCGGTCATGACGCCGTCCTCATGACCGGCATCAACGGCATCACCTATTTCTTGTCGACCATTCCTCCCTGGTACCTCGTAGACCGCTGGGGACGGCGCCCCATCCTGCTCAGTGGCGCCGTGCTCATGACCATCTCCCTCTCGCTCATCTCGTACTTCCTTTACCTCGATGTCAAGTCGACGCCGACGTTTGTTGTGATCTTCGTTATGATCTACAACGCCTCGTTTGGATACTCGTGGGGACCCATTCCCTGGCTGTACCCACCAGAAATCCTCCCGCTCAGTATCCGGTCCAAGGGCGCAAGTTTGTCCACGGCCACGAATTGGGCGTTCAACTGGCTTGTCGGCGAGATGACGCCCGTCCTGCAGGAGTGGATCCATTGGCGACTGTACTTGATGCACGCCTTTTTCTGTGCCACCAGTTTTGTAGTTGGTAAGTCTTCTTTCCTTTTTGTTTATGCCTTTCTTTTCTTTGTAGCATGACGGCGACGCGCTGACTCGGACTCTCAGTTTACTTCATCTACCCCGAGACGTGTGGCGTCCGCCTCGAAGACATGGACTCGCTCTTCGGCGACGCCAGTACCGTCATGGGCACGCCGTCAATACACGACGAGACGGGATCTCTCATGCAAGCAGGCTCCCCGACGCTGTCCGACTACCGGGGGCGTGGTGTGCCTACCACGAGTGCCATTCCCGGATTGTCACTCGATCCGCCCGAGGCTGCCTCGATTGACGGCAAGTTGCAAAGCCCCAACGAAGGCGACGCGAGTAGCACCATTAGCGGCTGGGTCTCTAGAGTGGTCGGCCGCACCCGGGGCAACAGCACCGCCGGCGGAGGCAGATATGCCCCCGTTAATCAGCAAGGTGACAGGGGCGAGGACGCCGAGACGGGCGAGCGCGACGGATAATGACGACCCTGCTTATACCGGACCAGAGATTAGACGGGAATATTCCTTCTGTTGCAATTACATATAGACGGCGACGCATGGTCTCGGACGGTTATCTTGGAACGTTGGCTTTTCTTTTCTTTTCCCCCCTTTCCCCCCCTTTTTCTTCTTCTTTTCTTCTCGTTCTCTCTCTCTCACTCTCACTCTCTTGGATAGATGAGTTGTGTACATGCATATCCGCCCATGCTTGAATGAGCGGAAAGGGCCCTCAGGGATATGCAGATGGAGATGAAGAAGCGACAGAGCATTTGACTACCGTCCAGCGGCGAATAATTGTTGATGACATCCAAAGACTACAAGACTACGGAGTACGGATAAAGGGCAGCAACTACGGCTGCGGCGTATCGCGCCGCGCCCCTTCCTTTGAGCGGGGACAACATCCCTAATACTTTCAGGCATGCTCCTTAGTGCCTTGGTAATTTGTCTTTCGTTCTGTATGTGTAGAGTTATATATCGCCTGTCGGCGACGGGTGGTTGCCTCGGACGGACAAGCGGCTAGAGATGAGGCTCTAGAGAGCGCAATGACATACAATACGCACCAACTCGTTGTTCCTTATTTCTCGTTCCGCGTCTTTGGACTCTACTTTGTGCAATCATTTGAGGCAGCAGATCAAAGTAGGACGATGAAACTTTTGGTCGGGTCATTATTGTGGTTTCTGACCACCATTGCTTTATTTTCGCGATGCTGCTTAAGCTGGCTCTAATTCGTAGCGAAACCCGGCTCGATGAACTGGCAGAGCTATAAGACAAAGGCCCAGGACAAAGGCTCATCCATGGCAGACGATTTGGCAACCAACACCCGCAAGTCCCTCTGCCACCTGCTGCGCATTAAGTTACCCAGCTCTCCACGCCGTCTCCCCTCCCGCTATCCTTCTTCTCCTCCACCCCATTTCGAGGAAAGAAATCACATGCCATGCCCGCCTCCCCTCGGGCCTCCAATACCACCGCCCACCTGATTGACATTGGCGCCCTTGATATTGTGATCGGACGGCCGCGCGGCGGCCTCGTAGATGATCTGGGCGGGGGCGCGGCCGAGGGCGGTCCACTCGCCCTTGAAGCCGACGTAGGCGAGGCGGGTGACGTCCTCGTCCTCCTCGTCGCCGTGGCCGAAGTTGTCCGGGAAGAAGAGGGCGAGGCGGCGCACCTTGGCGAAGAGGGCGCGGCGGACGGGGATCTCCTGGAGGTCGGAGGTCTGGGAGAGCTCGAAGACCTGGGCGGGCTCGGCGTCCTCGGCGGTGGAGAAGTCGATGTCGTCCCTGTTCTGGAAGAGTTTGAGGGTCTTGGGGGCGGAGGGGGACGTGGATGTCCGGAGGAGGATGGAGTGGAGTTTCACTTGGGCCGTGAATCTGGGGTGGTGGCGGGGAGAAGAAGAGAAGTTATGTTAGTTTATCGCATTGGATGGTATGAGGAATAAGACAACATGCTCTGTTGTGAGAAGGGTGGGTGGGGTATAGATGATAGAGTCGATGGTCAGATCATGAGTAGGGAGCTGGTGTATTTTTCACTTTTTGACCTGAACAGCGACGAGACTGCAGTTGAATAGTGTTTACCAGAGGGTGAATAAAAAGAAGAAGGGGGGGGGGGCGGGGGGATGAGAAAAAAAAATCCTTACGGGACATTCATCAAAAGCTGTTCATCGGCATCGCTCTCCAGCTCAGGAGAGTCATCCATGCGTTCCATCCACGTTTTCTTCACGATGGCCTTCCCGCTGTCCGACACGGCCTCGTTAAGCGTGACGATCTCGTCAAAGTTGATTTGCTGGTACAGAGACTTCTGCAGTGCCGGCGTGATGTCGTCCGAGTGGTCGTGGTCGTGGTCATGGCCGTGGTCACCGTGGCCATGTCTATGCTCGTCGTGACAGTGGGACATTTTAGGCGATGCAGTTCCGGGTTCCAGTTGATTGTTTAGTTTAGAACATGGGAGGTTGATTTTTTTCTTCTTCTTTTTCCTTCTTTCTTTTGCAAACTTTAAGTGTGTCGGTGTAGAGTTGAACTGCGGCCGTCTTAAATGTCTATCTATCACCTTGCCGTCGTCCCGTTCTTGATGGTGTTAGTGGTGGTGATGGTGAAGTGAAGGTGGTTTGTGTTGGAGGGTGGAAGGCCTGGTGGGGTAGCGGGGTGCATTTGTATAAGGTAAGTACATCCATCAAGTACGCAAAGTACGCAGTTACATTGACTAATTGGAAGCTCCCTTTTTCCCCAAGGCTCGTATAAATACGACTTATAATACGCCTGTTTGTCGTGTTAGTTTTCTGCCTCCCCGCTCATGGATTGCTATGAATGCCTTTCTCATGGTTTCAGACGAGAACAGGTAAACAACCTGGAAGCAAGCAAGCTACGTCAAGTACTCCATAAGTCGTCATAATATACCTTACCTACCTTAGGTAAGGTAGGTATGCAGGTACCATCAGCTGGGCATAAGGTACCTAGGTAGGTATCAAGTCCATTTGCTCCTCCAAGCACCCGATCTTCACGCATAAGTACCTTAAGGTATCGAGCACCACTGTTGTTGATCCTTAAATTTGAATTATTATACCTTTGTATCCTCTTATCCTCTTATCCTCTCAACAAGGTACCTAAGGTACGTAGTAGGTGGCTCTCTTTAGTCCCAGGGTATCTTCTAGCGCCAGTAACTCCTAATATCCCCCAAAAAATATACATCAACGACACTCCTCGCGAGGTATCCGGCAGTGATGCCAAATTAAAAGGGTTTCTGTTTCCTGATTGCCCAAACCGAAACCCCCACCTAAAAACCACCCCTCCTCTTTGGTTTCTTCTTTTGCTGCTGCGGCCTCCGCCCGTGCTGTCCCGGAACTGGCTGCGACATAGTCTCCCCCGGAAACTGAGAGAACTGCGACGACGGACGTATTTGTGATGACGACTGTGCAAACGGCTGCCCCTGCCCCTGCCCCTGCGTATGCGTATGCATCTGGTATGAGACAACTGGCGGGGGGAGGATGGGGAGAATGAGATCGGAGAGCGACGGAGGAGCAAGTGAGATGGCAGGTGCCGCCGCCTGGGAAAAAACCGGCGCTTGCTGTGATGACGAGGCCATGTCCATCGTCGATCCATGCGGGAAGCCCTCTGCTCTCCGCCCTCGCTGCCTTTGCCTCTGGAGCCGGCGGGACTCCGATCGCTGCGTCTTACTGCGCGCTTCCTCCAACCGGAGGCTTGACGCTGCCTGGATCGAAGATCGATACCCTTCTGTCGTCACACCGCGCTCCTCCGGCCAGTATGAGAGCACGGGGCTGGGCCGTCCTGGAAGTGGTTTGGCCGTGTTGACCCGGTGAGCAAGCATGCTGAGTCGCTCCAGAGCATCACGTCCGTGTCCATCCTCGATCGACGAGCCAGGAGCCGAAGGTGCTGAAGAACCCGGCACTTGGGATGTCTGGGACGATGGTGCGGGAGAGAGTGATTTGGTCGTACGGGGTGTGAGATAGCCCGTTTGTTGCGAGGACCCCAACTGCGTCTGTGTGTTGGGCGCCTGCCTCAACATCGGGACCCACGAAGACGGTCCTTCCATTTCGCGGGATTCACCCAAGCCGAAGACCGAGACGCCATATGAGGACCGCATGATGGCCTCGGATGCTTCTGACAGCGCTAGTTCTCTCGAAAGACGGCCGGGTGACGAGCTCCCTAGGACAGGCCAGCACTCTTCACATCGACGACGCAACTCCCCGATGGATGCATGATTCCCCGACAGCTCGACGTCCAATATGCGCGGGAGAATCGCTTGGATAATCACACGTCCGTCGGCTAGGGACTGAAGGGACCGCAACTGAGAGTCCCAATCCGCCTCGCCAGCTTCAGTAATCGGCGGCGCTTCAAACACGACCCCGCAGTCTCGCCTGATTTTCCAGTGAGCTTGTTGTACTCGTGAATGTTTTTGCTACGGTTGATCAGGGAAGACTCACAGTGTTCTAAGTGGCAGACGCCTCTCGTCTTCAGAAAGACAACTTTGTATCACATCCTTGACGGATTCGAGTCCGGGGACAGTCCCGCGGGCACGGTTATGCTCGGTCTCCAGAGCCAGCGAATCTATTGAAACCGACACGCGCGACATCAGTAGATCGACGCCCTCGACATGGCCCCTAGGCCAACGGCGTGAGCCTGAGCGTGAGCGACCCGTATCTCCATCATCGAGCGTTGAACTATGGGTTAACGCGCCACCGGTGCGAGTTTGGTCGCTCACGTCCCCGAAAGCATCTGACACAACAAAAGTCTCCCCGTGATGCTGGAGAAAATCCGCTCTCCGCTTGTCGCGCAATCGCCTGATCTGGCCGTCGGATACGGCCCCGCTGATATCAGGAATAGCGACATTGTCGGTGCCAGACGTAGTGGCAACCACCATGCAACATCCTAAGCTCAAATCCTCGCGAAGGAAGAGGAGCTGCCAGAAATGGTCAGGCCGACCGAGATACTTCTCGTCCGGACCGCTCGACGGCGCACCAGTGGAGTAGATGCGGGCTGGGACTAGGCTGAGCGTCTGCAAAGCCGGGAGGTCACCTGCGGTGGTGGCATCATGGCTAGGGCTAGGGCGGGGTACTTTGATCGTATGGTATTGAAACCGAGGGTGCCCCGTCTCACTGCTAACACGAAATGTGAATATGTCAACGTCAGGGCTGGTGTCGGAATGAACACAGACCACGCTGGCGTTGCTGCCAAGTGACGGCCATGCGTGGTGTGTTCGAATTCTGAGATGGCCGCTGCTGGTACCTCGTAAGTGAGCGCACGAGAGCAATACGGTTGGTTTGCCCACGACGCCACCGCCAGTATCCTGGGCCGGAACTAGTTCGATCCAGATGAGGTCCGAGCTAGTGAGTACAAACACCTGGTTCTGGTTGGCAGGATTCGACTGAACATCCTGTATAACATCTCGTCGCGTCCTGAGCACTTGTGGACCACGTGCAGGATGGCAGTCCGGGTAGCGAAGGTCGATCCACTCGAGGCCAGTCCGGTTCCAAACAAGTAGCATGTGCACCCGGGAAGACCGCCCAAACTCGTTGCCTTCAGTTCCCTCGTCATACTCCCCTTGCGGATCAATCAACGGCGCATCCCAGTGGTTCCAGTCTGGCCCAGAAGATCCCACCCAGAGGATACCGTGGTGCCCCGCAGGAATGGACGAGTCTGTCTCGGTTGGCAGGTCCTCGAGCATTCCGGCGTGTATTCGACCGCAGAACCTCAGCTCCGACGTAAGATCGACCCGACCGAGCTTGCGGAATTTCCTGTGCATTTCCCAGACGCTCCAATACCCTCGCTCATCAACTATAGCAAGCATCTCAGGACTTGCTTCCGAGAGGGGGCTGAATGCAACATCTGAATGCGGTCTACCCCCGGTATCCTGGTAGGAGAGAGTCAGAACAGGTCTGGGATCGATACGAGACGGTCGCTCGAGTTCCCTGGTAGGGTCGCAAGGTGGTCCAGAGACGGGCACCCGTCGATATTGGGGGCTGAGGATGGTTGTTGAGAGTTGTTTCTGGACAATGACGTATCTGGAGGGTTCACTTCTAGCCAAATCGAGGCCGATCTTGACCTGGGCTATAGGACTATCATCTTGCGCCCAAGAGACAGTATCCTCCATGCCGTCCTGCATGGGTTGGAGAAGGCGCATCGCAGGAATGTCATCGCCATCGCGGTGGCAATTAGCGTAGTTTATAGTAACTAGACGAAGGACCTCGCCGGACTGCCCGGTCGCAGCAGCAATTACTGGTTTGGAACGCGGGCGCTTGGGGTCTGTAAAGTCCGTCATTTGACCGATTGCGAGTAGAGGGCCGACTGAGAACGGCCTTGCGCTTTCGTTCTCAGCCACAAAGTCGGACAACAGCCCCGAGGCGCAGGCGATGGCTTCGGGGTAGGTGCCATGGATCCAACGTTTGTGCCGCCTTTCTTCTTTCCAGCTGACGGGATCTGGTAGAACAGTCGCAGTAGCCGGATACCACGTCTCCGAATGGCCCACCGCGTGAAAATGAAGAGCTAACGCCCTTGTCAGCTCGCTCGGGCAACTTGGCCATGTCCACAGCTCGCAGCATGATTAGAAAATTGGCTTACCATGGGAAGTATCTCGATTGGTATGCAGCGTGGGTAGTCCGGAGGCAGTAACGGAGACAGGTTCTTGACGGGGCACAATAGTGATTCGCGGAGGACCGTAAATTCGGTCGCCCTCATCTTGAAGGCCGGCCATGAGGCCGGGGTGTGGTGGATAGCTTCACGGCCGAACAAGGTGACTTTGGTGTCGTCCTAATCATGCCGTAGAGCGAGAGGAGACGCCGTCTCATGGTTCAAGAAGCTCAGTTCGAGAGCAGCCTGGAGGCAGGTAGAAACGCTGGGCGTAAGGAGAGTCGAAGTAGAGGTCCTGAAAGGATTTGGCTGAAATGCGAATCTTGGATATAAAACTGAGGGGAGAGAGAGAGTGTGTGTAGGCTAAGCTGGTAGCCGCTATACGGGTGAACCAACGGATGTCAAAGTAGGACTACAAGAGACATATTTCTACCATGACACTGGTGAAGCTTCCAATGAGACAGTTGTTAGAAAGGTTTGTAAATATCGGGTTGTCGGCCCATCTCTTCCTCGTTCGCTTTGCACGTAGTTACCAGAGATAGGGGTGACGGGGAACAGAAGAAAAATGTTATAAGATGAGGATGGCGATAACTTCCTGCAGCGCGTTTCTTTCAGATATGTTCTTATCTTATCAGCGAACCGCGACTAAGATAAGCTAAGGTACCTTAGTAAGGCACTTCCGGAGTACAGAGGCACACGGTATATTAGGTGAATAAGTTTATAGATCTCCGTATCGGTACTCCGTCCTCCGCACTTTTGGTACTGCTCCATCTTCCCCCCTGTTGTCTCAAGCCTCTCAAGGTAATAAGCAGGAACACAAACCATCTCATCTCCCTGGGCAGACTGAGCAACCGACACCACTTCCCAGCAAAATGAAGCAATATGCCTCCCTCGGCAGATGAGAAGAAAGAAAAGCAGGCTGCGGCCCAACAAGCTGTTGACATTCTCCATGAAATTTCCACCATCCTAGTTAGTTGCCAGCTCCCGCCTCGCCTCCATCCAAGAGAACAAACCCGTGAACGACTGGAGGATTGGAAATAAGGAGGGGAGAAAGATCGATCCTAACTCAACGCAACAGAACTGCCAGCTTGATCGCCGTACCCTCTCCATCTGCATCTCCATGATCGAGAACGGCGTCAACCCCGAGGCCCTCGCGGTAAGCAAAAGCTCTCGCCCACCCCCTTGCGCTCCAAGGCGAGCGGCCTTGCGTCATCGCGGCTCGCCCGTGGCTTGGGGACTTGTTCTCTCTCCCCTTTTGCTGACCCTGTTTTCTTTACGCCCAGCGTAGACCGTCATCAAGGAGTTGAGGAAAGAGGCTCAAGAGGCGGAGCTGGATATGAGGGCGCGGAGGCGCTAGGTCCCCATGCATACTCATGCTTGTTGTATCCATCCTCCGTCGATCTTCTTACGTATGGACAGGTTTCGTTGCTTGCCGCCAATAGCGACTCCGCAGGACAGTGTCTGGTTTTCCAGTGGACAGAGAGGAGTCGCTTATGGGAAACGTGGATCCGCTCAGCTTTCATGAGATGGATATCCCCATTCAACCATCTATGTGAGAAAAACACTGCCCGGTGGACTCACCCGGAGTCGCACCTCCCTCCGTGTGTCTCGCGACTTGGAGCATCGAAAGCACACCCACTATGGCCCCAACACTCGGCCTTCTGACGATTTCCGTCCCACTGGCACAAGCATATAAACCGAAGATCGAGAACGAACACCTGTACTGATCAGTAGCTAATCCTACTCCTTTGCCTTAACCCTGTACCATAAGCCCAAGTAAGGAATCTAGTCCCATGTACAAACTATAACAATGTGTCATCAATAATCCAGAAGCGCCGTACATCGCCGCAAAATCAGTGCCCTCCCTGAATGGTGTCTCATATTGTCCTCCCTAGCCCCGATCCAACGCCGAAAGCAAAGTACAATGGGTAATCATCAATCCCAGCCCTCATCGGTGTCCAATAAGTACAATTTCGTTGTCGTCATCATCATCATCATCTTCGTCATCGTCGTCTTCCTCCTCATCTTCGTCTTCCTCTTCAATCTCCGATTCTTCTGACAAAGACTCCACCTCGTCGGAGGAGGACTCGTGGAGGCGATGGACCCACAGGCCTAGCATGTCCTCATCCGTGTCGTCCTCAGAATCCTCAGCTAGGATGTTGTATGTCGTAGCGGATGCCCTCATTCCCATGCCTGGGGCAAGTGGAGGGGACGCTGACCTGGCCAGACGGTCTGGGACGACTGCTCTCACTCCCGAAACACCTATGCCGGGGTTCGCATGGCTGGAATGCCGCCTCCTCGCTGACTGTCCCGTCGTTTCGATTGGCACGGAAACCGTAACTTCGGCCGCGGCTTGCGATTGGACTGGTCCCTGGGCGCCTTGGGAAGCCGATGATGCTTGGTCTGGAGAAACGGCACTCCGCTCGACCGAGGAGCCGCTGCCAGTGCCAGTGTCGGTATTGCTGTTACTATCGATCCGTATCTCTGCCGTGTTGTACGAACGGCAGAGGGCGCATTTGAGACCTAACCAGTGGTAAGGCACAGTACTTTTGCCGCTGCAGTCGTTGCACAAGATCGTGGCCGACGTTGACCGGAACTCGGGAGGCATCGGCTGGCTCTGGATGTCTAGATCCAGGCGTCGGAAGTAGCTCTCCATATTAAGCAAGCTCTTGTTGCAGATCGGGCACTTGTACGACCGTTTCATATGTTCATTATAGCATTTCGAATGGATGCTGTGGCCACAGACCATGAATACGACTGGATTCGGCGAGGTGAACAGGTATTCCCCGCATATGGGACAGTCGCAGTCCGTGGATCGTTCGATACATTTGTGGGAAACTTGAATCGATATTGAGATGCATGCGCAGCATTTCTAGGTGGCGTAATTTTTGTCGGAATGAGCGGCAGGTCCGAAGACGACGGAAAGCCGCCAAAGCACGGGAGAGAGGAAACTGTACGCACCTTGCAATGGAAAAAGTCTTTGCCCAGGCCCATGCCGCGCCGACAGATACCACAGTCATTGCAGTGGTATATCTTTTTGTCCGGATGGTCGTCCCACAACTTGCAGACGTTGCAATAATAGCGAGCCGTGCCCACGCCGCAGTTGACGCAGGTATCGCCGGCTTTTTGAGGGTAGGCGCAGAGCATGCAGAGCATATTCTTCGTGTCTTTCCGGATCAAACTGTGGTCTTCGGCCGCGTCATGACAGAAGCGGCAAGTGTACCATTTCCCACAGGTCGAACATTGCAGCTTGACGTTGCGGCGGTAATGCCTGCAGCCGAGAGGCCGTTCCTGCTCCGCCTCGGGTGTGGTGTCTTTGGGACTCTTTACGGTCGCAAACGTCGGCTGCACGTCCTCGGCGGTCAGGACGAACTGTTCGGCGGGCGGGGTTTCGCCTGGCGGGTGTTGCCAGAACTTGAGCGACTCGAGGGTGCTGACGGGGATGGTTTGCTTCCAGGCCTTGGCGCTGGCGGGCGGGCTGCTGGGGCTGTTGGACGATGCGGTGATGGTCGGGCTCGTGGGCTGCGGGTTGGGCGTCATCTGCTGCGAGAGATGATAGCCTTCCAACATTATTTCATGCATGCAACGGGCTTTGTCGTCGCAGGGGAGGTCTTCGGCTTGAAGGGCGAGAAGCCGCTTCCGCAAAGTACCCATGCCATCATCTTCGGGCAGCCGATGTGATGGCTTGGTTGGATTCTCCATAGGTTCTGCCAAATGGCCTGTTTGCTCGGAGGCCGTGCGAACACCTAGAAGAGCGATGGCGATGGTGGACGAAGTCGAATTCGAGGTCGATGTCGAGGACGAGGTCTATCGAGATGTCGGAGCGGAGTACACCGTGGGGGTTGTCGTTCGGGTTGCACGGCCATGGGACCTTGTAGGAGGCTGCGGGTGCTGCCGGTGGTGGGTGGCGGAGCGCCCGGAGTCGTCCCAATCAGGGGGAGCTCTGTCGGACAACCGCGGGGCTTGTCGAATGACCGGATTGATGATGAATTCTGTGACCAGAGAAGACATCGACGAGAATCCGTGCGATAAACGGCGAGACGGTCAGAGATGGCCCTTCCAAATGAACGATATTCGGCGTGGAGGAGGGCGGGACGAGTCTTGGGGATTGTGAAGAGGACGGGAGTATGTAATAGGTACGGAGTACAATCTGGGATATGTACTTCGTAAGTACCTACTGTAGTCTAAGGTACCTTAGGTAGAGCTGCCTAACTTGGGACGGGCCTGGCCGATAGAAGCCGGCAGTTAGCATCTAATAAGATACAAAAATTCAATCTACCTTACTCTGTAGCAGAGGAAGGATTATCGATGGCAAGAGGAAGGTGTAGGTCGAAGAGGAAGATTTCTATATATACTCTGTAGAGGATGTTTTGAGGTGAAGATTACTGGCAATGGTACTTTTTACCGTATACAGATAGATATGCACACGAAGGTCGCTGATACCTTCAAGGAAGCGCAGTCCGGGTTGACAGGCTTAGGTGGGAAGCCATGATATACCTGTAATGAGTGAAACTCAGCGAGCCCCCGCTGATCCCGAAACGGCCACAGCAACAAGTATTGCCCTCGTACCAAAGAAGTAGCTGAATGTTAAGAATAGCCTACTCCGTAGAGTCTGTGTAAGGTAGGTAAGGTATGGAAGATGGCATGGCAACACTGCTTCCTATAAATAAGCATGCACCAGCAGGTCGGTTTCGGGTTGCGGCGAAATCGCGAGAAGATGGGGATACAATCCCGTGAGATTTGTATGTTCCTATTGAGGAAACATCAACGAGTGAAGTTAAAAGAGAGTATGAACTTGACTATGCATGCATAGAATATGGTGTAAGTGTCATGTGTTTGTGCGACCAAGATCAACGGGCCATATTCTTTGAAGATGATATAGAAAGTGGGTAGAACGATATTGATAGAACTCATAATGGAGGCTGTAGCCGTGCTGGGCTCAACTCGTCATGGAAAAAGAGTAGACTCCATAAGGTACATATGATGCCTTGAGTATGCATTGCAATACTTAATATTATGGTAAAAGTAGGTAAGGTAAGAAGAAAAACACATGGGGGATCCAGCCAGATAAACATTCCGGAAGGGCCAAAGGGGAACTCCTAAAGGGAGCTTGAATAAACATTGGTGGGACGCAGGGAGGATCGGGCAACTCGGGATTTCATTGCACTGTCCCAACTACACGTTGGTTCTTCGCACAGGAACAGAGATACGAATACTTCGTACTGAGTAGGTATTCGTAATTAAAGGGAGAACACTGGCGTTCGAAGTGTGGATAACAATGTCCTGTTGACTTGAAGGAAGAAAGTGTGCTTTCCAAGGATTTTGTCGGGATTTCCGTATGTATCTTCTAAAAGCTAACGTACCTTACCTTACCTTACCTTATATACCTTACCTAGGGTGGAAGCCATCTCAAGAACTTTTCGTACAATTGTAGCCACCAAACGAAGGTGCGAGGTAATTACGCGTGCTTCGTTTCGTACCTTACCTCTCCAGCACCAGTGTCCAGACTGTAATTAACCAGCGACTGTAATTAACCAGCTGCTGACAAGCAACCAATAAGCCTGGAGGGAGGGGGAAAGGGCCCAGAAAAGTACGTACTTCGGTGATTAGGTAATTTGGAGCTACGAAGTACTTCTATCAAGTACTTGTACGTTGTAACTCGACCTGACCACGTTGGCTTCGCACCTTCGTATCGTGCCGCTGTCAACTTGCCATGGATCATTTTTCTCTTCTTCCATGCAGCCCTCCCTTCAATTGGTGTGGCCTTCAATAGAATTTCTTTTCATTGCCCACTGACCGTCGTCTGTCCCCTTCTTTAATCTTTCCTTTGGACTTACTTCGCAGGTCCCCGTTCCCGTTTTCCCCTCCCTTTATTTTGAGTGTGCAACTCGTCCTATCATTAACTGCGAGCTGTCCGAGTTGCTTCTCCCCCCCTCCCCCTTTTTCTATCCACAAAACCTCTAGCAACTTCATCCCGACGCTACCATCTCACATCGACGAACAAAGCTTACCCCCAAGACTTTAGTATATTGAGTCGTCTCATTGCGCCACTTGAGCGACCGACAATGGCACCAAAGAAGCCTGTTGTCGCCTCTGGCGCAGATGTTGGTGATGGTGTCAGGAGGCGGCCCGTAGCGGCCGCCCAAGCCGTGCCTGTAACGGCTGCTCCGACTGCTCCGACTGCTCCGACTGAAGTTGATAACAAGAAACAGTTGGCACCAAAGGTTCGTAGCGATGAGCGCGAGTATCCGAAAGACACCCCATTACTGCTTTCCTTGCCCCTCCCTTCTTTTCCCTCCCCTCACTCCGCCTGACCTGGACTTCGAGCTGACCTCGTGTCTCCTATCCCTAGAAATCTTCGGTCCTCAATTTCCTCGACGCGTGGGAGGTCGTCCTTGCCCCGCTACTACTCACCGCTTTGGCCATCTTCACCCGGTTGTGGAAAATTGGCATCAGCAACATCGTCACCTGGGATGAGGCTCACTTTGGCAAGTTCGGAAGCCACTACATCAAACATGAATACTACTTCGACGTCCATCCTCCCCTGGGCAAGATGCTCGTTGGTCTGTCTGGCGTCCTCGCCGGATACAATGGCTCCTTCGAATTCAAGTCTGGCGAGAAGTATCCCGAAGATGTCGACTATACCTTCATGCGTGCCTTCAATGCCGGCTTCGGAATCGCCTGCATCCCCATGGCCTACTTCACCGCACGGGAGCTGAAGTTGTCGCGCCCTGCCGTCTGGTTGGTCACGTTGATGGTTCTTTGCGAGAACTCGTACACCACCATTAGCCGTTTTATTCTCCTCGACTCAATGCTTCTCTGCGGTACCGTAGCCACCGTCTACTGCTGGGCTAAGTTTCACAACCAGCGTTACAACAGCTTCGAACCCGAGTGGTTCCTCTGGCTCTTCATGACCGGCCTCAGCATCGGTTGCGTATGCAGCGTGAAGCTCGTCGGTCTGTTCGTTACCGCGCTGGTGGGCCTCTACACCGTCGAAGACCTTTGGCGCAAGTTCGGCGATACGAAGATGCCCGTCGTTACCCTCGGCGCCCACGTCGTCACCCGGGTTGTTGGCCTCATCGTCATCCCGCTCTTGGTCTACATGCTCTCGTTTGCCCTGCACTTCGCTATCCTCGACCGCACTGGCCCTGGAGATGCGCAAATGAGCTCTCTCTTCCAGGCCAATCTGAAGGGGACATCGGTAGGCAGAGACAGCCCCTTGGAAATCGCCTATGGATCTCGAGCCACCATCAAGAACATGGGATACGGCGGCGGTCTGCTCCACTCTCACGTTCAGACTTATCCCGAGGGCTCCCACCAGCAACAAGTCACCTGCTACCACCACAAGGATTCCAATAATGATTGGTTCTTCTATCCGAGCCGCGATGACGAGGCTTACGATTCCGAAGCTGATCCCCGTTTCATCGCCGACGGCACCACTATTCGTCTTATCCATGCGCAGACCGGACGCAACCTGCATTCGCATGATATTGCCGCCCCCATGTCCAAGTCGGACAAGGAGGTGTCCTGCTACGGCAACTTGACCGTAGGTGACGCTAAAGACCATTGGAAGGTGGAGGTTGTCCGAGACGCGGCCTCCCGGGACCGTAGCAGGATTCGAACTCTGACGACGGCTTTCCGCCTCAAACATCCCGTGATGGGCTGCTATCTCCGTGCTGGGAATAAGAATCTCCCACAATGGGGTTTCAAGCAGATCGAAGTTACTTGCACCAAGACGAACAATCCTCGCGACACTTATACTCACTGGAATGTGGAGGCCCATTGGAACGACAAGCGTAGGTCTTCCTTGTTTCTCTCTCTCTCTCTCTTGCTTTTGTGTCCCTTTGCTCCTGTCTGTTCCCGTTCTAGTACGCAATGTGTATTGACTGTTTTCACGTTAGTTCCCCCCAGCGATCCCGGTGTGTACAAGTCGCCCTTTTTCCACGACTTCATCCACCTGAACGTGGCCATGATGACGTCCAACAACGCTCTGGTCCCGGACCCCGACAAGCAGGACGACCTGGCCTCAAAGTGGTGGCAGTGGCCCATTCTCGACGTCGGCCTAAGAATGTGTAGCTGGGATGATTCGGTCGTCAAGTACTTCCTCTTGGGCAACCCCTTCGTCTACTGGGGCTCGACCGCCGCGCTGGGTGTCTTCGGACTGGTTGCTGCGTGGTACATCCTTCGCTGGCAGCGAGGCTTCGGTGATCTGAACACGACGGAGCTGGACCAGATCCACTACGCGGGACTCTACCCCGTTGTCGGCTGGTTCCTCCACTACCTCCCATTCGTTGTCATGGCGCGTGTGACATACGTACACCATTACTATCCCGCACTCTACTTCGCCATCTTGACTTTTGGTTTCTTGGCGGATTGGTTCCTCCGGAATCGGAAGCGCGTTGTCCAGTATGCCGCCTACGGACTTCTCTACACCGTCATCATTGGTCTCTACATCTACTTCATTCCCATCTGCTTTGGCATGACGGGGCCGAACAAACAGTACCGGTACATGAAGTGGTTTGAGAAGTGGAGGGTCACGGACTGAAGAATCCCTTTCCCCTACTTGTAGTTGTTATTCACTACTTCTAGGTAGTACTCTACTCGATCGGCGTCGTCGGGATCGTCCCCGTCGAGCCTTAGCCTTAGACAGAGCTTAACTTTAGGGGACTATCACTACGTGCTTCGTCCACCTTCTCTCTCCTCGCATCACTTATTGGGATAAGACAGGGACAGAGGGGAAAAAGAGGAGTTTTGCAATCCCGGCGCGGGATGTAAGACGATAGGGAACTTCTTGTAACTTTCAACACGAGCTAATGCAATGGATCCATATTCTTGGTGAATGCCCAGACGAGATGTAAATTGTTTTCTTCATAATGTAGGCCATTCAGCGTTGGTGATCTCGGCCGGCGCATCTGCGTGATTGAAGCTTTGCTGTTGGACATTAAGTATTACGATGGTATCCGGCATCATGGCCGCATCATGATGTACCGACTGCTCCTTTGGTGACGGTACAGGGTATCTCTCCCCCCACTCTACCCCGTCCTCCTTTCATTTCTCCTCCTGGTCGCTTGTGGCGTATGGCTTACTCCGTTAACCCGCAGAAATACTAAATTGTTGGTGTAAACAGCTTGTTGGTATGAATCTATGCGTTGCTTTTTTTCTTTCCTTTTTTCTTTCCTTTTTTTCTGTCCGCCCTCCCTAACAGCACCCGCCTCCGGAAGCTTTCGCCTTATTAGACCCGAGGCGGACCTGGCGGCTACCGCCGGCCCCCGGTCCCTTGACACCAGACCGACGATCGTTGAGGTCGTATTTCCCCGCCTGGATGTTCTGATATATACGCTCGGCCACGCGCGTGAATGCGCTCTCGACGTTCTCGCCGCTTTTGGCGCTCGTCTCGACGTACTCGAGGATGCCGTTCTGGCGGGCCCAGGCCTCGGCCTCGGCGCGGGTGACTTCGCGGCGGTTTACGGTTGCGCCATCGGCGTCGGTGGTGGAGGATTTCAGTTGGGCGAGGTCGGCCTTGTTGCCCACGAGGACGACGACAATGTCGGGTTCGGCGATCTGGCGGAGGTCGTTGAGCCAGTCGGTTACATGCTGGAATGTCTGCTTGCGGGTGAGGTCGAAGACGAGGAGGGCGCCCGAGGCGCCGCGGAAGTAGGAGCGCGTCACGGACTTGTATGTCTCCTGGCCGGCGGTGTCCCAGAGGGAGAGCTTCATGTGTTTTTGCCGCGGCGGCGGGCCCGTTGGTTCTGGCACCCGTGGCGGGTCGGGGAGCCCGTTCGGTTTTGCGGCGGCTTTTTCGGGCGGGTTGCTGCCTTTGGCGGCTTCGAAGTCGTCATCGCCTGACGCGGAGGAAGGGAGAGGCGCAGCCGCGGGAGGTGGTGGTTGGGAATGCGGCGGGCCGACGGGGACAATGCGGGAGCCGAACTCGACGCCGATGGTTACGTCGTGGTGAGGAGAGAAGCGGCCCTCGCAGAGGCGGATGGTGAGACTTGATTTACCGCATCCTGAGTCGCCGATGCAGACGAGCTTCGCGATATAATCCCAGGGCGGGGAGGACATGGTCTGTTTTGTTTGGAGGACAGGACCAGGCGAGTTGGGACGGAGAGGGCGAATACAGACTACCAAGGACGAGTGGAAGGGTCGAATTGAGTCCGTTTCTTCGGTGACTTCGAAACGACGGGTTTTCGAGACGAGGAGATCCAGTTGTTTCCCAAGGCTCTTTGCAATAGGTAATTTTCAAGTCTACCTGGATTACGGGACAGGTAGCTGGAGCTGTCGACTCCCAGGACGTTTGGTTTCGGGCCGTGGACGCCCAAGATACTGAGCTCGACGACAGGACAGGAAGATAATAGATGATGCTGCCGGAGACTCAGAATGACCTGTCCATATGCCCCAGCTCAGTTGAGATAAATTCGAATCAAGCAATGAGTGTCCAAAAGAGACTCGGAAGCGTGAGGGTGGTTGGGAACAAAAATTGCAGATGGTTCAGGTGCTGTTTCACTGCGTGAGGTTGCAAGCTCCTCGTGATGGGTCGAGAGTCCAAGGTCAAAAGACGGACGGACTGTGTCTTTGGTTGGTGGACAAGGATATTAGGAAATCCCGAGGCTCCGGTGACGGCTGGAGTTGGCCAGGGTCTCTTATCAGTGACGCAAGAATCGCAGAATGGGGTCGGTCTGATAGCGAATCGATCCAAACCACGGACGCCGCTCGCGACATGTACGAAGTACCTACGAGCTGTTGTGGGTACCTACCTTAGGTACCGACCGTGTGTACAAAATATCTACCTAAGGTAGGTCGGTAGGTAGCTAGTGTCCTCCGTGCTAACCGCTATCCGTACGGATAGGTACTATCGTATGTATTCCTATTCTGCTACTGTACTGGTTCTGTTTCCCGACCAAAGCAGATTGGACTGCCTTGGGAAAAGCTGTGATAATTACTATCGGGCCTTGATGTGACGTCTCGTTGTCTAACATAAGGTACATAAGGTACCTAACCTTACCTTACCGTACGTACGGACGTTACAAAGTCCGTGCCCCGTACTCGTACTCCGCGACGTGGACATGACATGACAACTGGAAGTTCTAATAGTGGTGGTACCTGAGCGATAAGCTTCCCCGCCGAGGACCACTAAAAGCAACCCAGAGCAGGTACCTACAGTGGGGCACATAAGTACCGGGTTAGGCGCTGTAACCAGCAACCAAGGCTGCCTAATACCTAATAAGGTACCTTAGGCTAACAACTAACAATTTCCCCATCATCAGTCATCAGACATAAGTCATCAAGTCATCAAGTCACCTGTCAGTGCTGTCACCGACTCTTGTCTCTCCGTCACTCGGGCCTGCTCTCTCGTCCTCCCGTCTTTCTCTCATCTTCCTCTCCTTGTCTATTCCCAATTACACACTCTCCCCACAAGAGCTGGACACGCATATCCAGTCTTTGGGACCATTTTTTTTCTTTCATGTTTCCTCTTTTATTCGCCCCATATAGTTAATACTCATTGGGTTCTTCCACACCACATCCCATCCCGCCGTGGCCTTACAGCGAACCCCCGTTCCCCCTGTTCGCTCTGTTCGTCCTATCAGCCAGCCACGAAGCGATAGGCTCCTCCTAGACCAACCTTACCTCCATATCTCCCCCACCAGACTCTAGACGGGCTGTGAATATTGTCTGACCGCCCAGTGTCGGGTACGACGACCCCGAGTGGAGGTTTCCTTAGGAACCTGGAGCAAGATGTTTTCGGAATGTAAGCCTGGAGCAATCCCCCGTTCCCCTCTTCTTCTTCATTTCTGTGCCTTCTTTTTTCTTTCCCCTCACGTACTGTCATATTGGGATACGGCTCTGACTCTTATATTGGCCAGATGCGTCAAAGTTTCTTGCGCAGTCGCAAAGCAGAATCTCGAACTTGGACCAAGCCGATAACGCCGACAGTCCATTTCGACCAGCACCCGACCGAGCATCACGCCCCTCGCGAAATCCCGCCGCCCGATCGTTCTTGTCCCGGGCTTATGCGGGAAATCCCTATCAAACGTATCAGACAGGAGGCTCGCGGTTTGGTCATCTCGGCTTTGCGTCTCGCTTGTCAGCTGCCCGGGAAGACGCCCCGCTGTTCCACAGCGCTCTCAACGAGTATGGAGAGGACGATGACGAGGAGGAAAGGGACCGCGAGGCCGCCGATTTGTTCGCCCTGCAGAGGTCTCGTCGTGTGGCCGCCGCCAGCAAGCTTGCCGAAAGCTCAGAGACTGAGCCGGATGGGAGCCGCGGTTCCCTAGACCAGAGTGAGGATGCTGGTCACCAAGGCCAGACGTACAGCCACATTAGGGGATCGCGGAGAGGCATCCGCAGCAGTTGGAACGGCACCAAAAGCACTAGCGGCCGTGGGAAAGGCCAGGGGACCATCGACGAGGAGGCTGAAGAGGACACCCATGACTCGGGGGCCCTAGCTAGCCCTCATGGTTTTGGGGCGGATCCTAAGATGGTTGACGTGGGGTTGGACTCCCACATCGAGTACGACGATCCGCCGGCGTCTTTGACAGGCGACGCCGACGCCGATGCCGATGAGAGTCCCCCGGCGTTCCAGAAGTTCGCCGGAGGGGCGGAACGTGATAGTTTCCTCTTACGGCGGGAACCACCTCAAAGATCAATGTACGATGAGGCACGGCGTGGCAGCTCCGATGACGACGATGCTCTTCCGGCCACAGTGCCGCTCGCCGAAGGGGACATCTTCAAGTACGACCCGTTCTTCGCCTGGCTTTTCCTCATCCTCCTTGCCGCTCTTCTGTCGACCTTCGTGTTGGTTTGGCTGCATACTTCCACGAGGAAAGGGATGGGCGATACGATATACACGACCCTGCGGGCCTCTTTCCACATGCTTGCCGTCGACACCGTCGTATCTGTCATGGTGGCACTTCTCTGGCTTGCGGCCCTGCGCTCCTTCGCTCGGCCATTGACCGGACTTATCGTCATCGCCGTGCCGGTTATCATGGCGAGCTTCTCCATCTACGCCTTCGTCTCAAGTTTCAAAGGGACAACCAAAGGCGCGAGTTTTCAGGATCGGGCGTTGCGGTGGGCATCCGTCGTCCCTGCCGCCGCTTGTGTCGTCTGGGTCTTCCTCGTCGTCAGAGCGCGTCATAGCATCCGCCAGGCCGTCGAGATTCTCGAGTTTTCCAGCCGCATCCTCGCTGCCAACTCAGCCTTGGTGGTCCTCGGCTTCGGCTGTCTAGTCCTCATTGTGGCCTGGACCTGGATGTGGATGGGCATGTTCACGCGCATCTTCCTGGGCGGGTACTTCTCCAAGTCCATGGCCAAGTTCGTGATCAGCGTCTCTAGCTGGTGGTTGGGCGTCTGGTTCGTCCTCATGTATATGTGGTCCGTGGGCGTCATCAACTCGGTGCAGCGCGCAACCACGGCGGCCACCGTCTCTCAGTGGTATTTTCATCGCATGGCTGCCCCAGCGCCTTCGTCCAACGAGATCGTGTCGGCCGCCTTCAGCCATGCGGTGACGACCGTATTCGGCAGCATCTGCCAGCAGACGTTCCTGGCCCTCCTGGTCCGGACGCCGCTCCTCGTGCTACCGAGAAGCCTTGCCGGCATACTTGAAGCAATCAGCTCCCGCATCGTACCGACGCCCATATCTGCGCTTACGAACCCCCTGACCATAACCTACGGCGCCATACATTCCCAGAACCTCAACACGGCGGCTCGCGGCCTCAGCAGGTTAGATTTCCTCTCCCCCGGACGACCCACGACTACCTTGACACCACACGTTTTCCTGTCGTCCCTACGGGGCTCGCGGTCGCCTACACTACCATACCGGTTGTCCAAGATGCTTCTTTACGCGACACGATTCATTATGGCCACGGCGCTGGGTTTCGCGGGCTGGGTCATGACGGCGAAACAGCTGCGGATCGCCGCGTCGGACGGCATGGGCCTCAGGGGCTCGGCGTACGCTTACGTTGTGGGCATAGTGGCCAGCTTCATCGGGTTCTCGATTATGGGTGCCATGGAGAACATTTTGAGCGGCATCGTGGACGCCGCGATTATTTGCTATGGTAGTGAGAAGTTGATGAGAACCGGGACGGGAGGCTACTGCATGGAAGCAGCCTATCTCTTCGGCGAGAGAAGGCGAGACGAAGGACGAGGTCTGCCTTGATACTCCTTGGACTCTCCGGACGCCCCCCCTTTTTTCCTTTCTTCTTTTTTTCCCTTTTTCTCTTCTTGGGACACATGGGATGCGCTTTGGTTTCTTGACAGGTATTGATTTGTCAACTAGCGATTTTCTGTTGCGGTATTCCGGATGGAAACTCATCATCAGCCTGGCGATTCACGGGTAATGGGCGGCGTTTTATCTCGGTAGACTGAACCTGAACACAACATACATATCAGACACGCACTTGCTACAGCTGTGTGCAGGGGAGTTTGTGCACACGCAGAATATTGAATATCGGGGCCAGATTCAGCTGTGTATCATCGGCTAAGCATCCTAGACGCCGTGCTTGCATTGTCGTGTCGGGGCGTTTTTAAATCATCTCGTAAGGCCTACAGTTTGTCGTAAACCCGGCCCTCCTCCCTGAATTGTAAGACATTTTTGTAGCAAGCAGCCTCAAACCGACCCCGATCCTCCCGCAGCACCATCTACGATGGCTTTACCTTTGCCCTTCTCCTTGTCCACATCATCGTCCACAGTCGGCGGCACCGGAATATCTAAGCCCCTCACACGGTACTCGAGCCCGATGTACGCGTCGCTAACAACCAAGACGTCTAGCTTGCGCCCCTGAACGCTCTCGGGGAGTTTTATGGTCGTTCTCGCTGTAGGCCTGGCGCCTACCAGGAGACCTCCTTCTCCCCCGGCATTACCGCCACCACTACTACCACCGTCACCACCAATACGCCCTCCACCTCCTCCTCCTCTTCCTCCTCTTCCTCCTCTTCCTCCTCTTCCTCTCGCCCCACCTCGTCCTACGCCAGCCTTTCCCTTCTTCCCTTGATCATTTCGCCCCCGATAGGCTCCCGAACCCCAGCCAACGCGTTTGACGGCCATGACCTCGTCGTTGGCAACATCACCCACGATGACAAACCAGCCTTCGGTTTGCGGCTTGGGGAAGCGAGGGGCAAAGATGCGCGCATCACGCTCCGTCAGGCGGTTGAGGCGACGCAGCTCGACGGAGAGGCCCTGGGAAGTGACCGAACCGTCGGGGACGGAGACTGCCACGTTGGGGAGCGCCGCTACGGCCTTGGAGAACCCCGCGTGCTTGGCTCGCGGGACACCCAGGCCGGCGGCGAGCTGTGAGAGCTTCTCGTTCGGCGTGGCGCTGATGGTCGCGAGCGGGATCGACTTCTTCTTGTCATCCTCCTTCGAGGCGGCGTCGTCCAAGTCGAACCCAGGGAGGATGGACGCAGGGGGGTCGGTGGGCCAGCGGGCCGATTTGACGCACTGCAGCAGCGTCACCATCTGCAAACACGAGGACAAGTAGCCTAGCTCGGCGAAGACATCGATGGAAGCCTGAATAATACGGATGGCTTGGTCCAGGACGGACGTCTGGTCACCTATGTAGTCGGATATGGGAAGGCTGACGCGGGAGAAGTGCGCTTGTAGCAGGAGGAAGGCCTTGACGTGAGGGTCCCACATGGGGAGGCCGAAGTTGGTGGCGGGCAATGGGAGGTTTCGGGAGAGCTCGGCATTGATGAGGTCCTCGTTGTGGCGGACGGGCAGTTCGTCGTACTCGGCCGCCCGGGACATCCAGGAGAGCACGTCGAAGAAGGATGCCCGCGGCGCGGCATGGCGGGCGAGGTATCGTATCGTCCTGTGCGAGAGGTAGTAGTAGGACATGATCTTACCCAGCGGTGTCGAATCGACGTCGCCATTGGGGTAGACCTCGACACACTTCGACTTGGCCAACTCTGCCAGCGACTTGTCGACCATGTCGATCATGAACTCGTTGGCGAGGCGCTGCGCAGTGACGCTGTTGTGGTCCTCCGCCGTGATTTCCAGACCGTAGTAGGACGGGTTCTTGTGCAGCCGGCGGAAGAAGAAGGTCCATGTCAGATAGTCCAGAGCATCCTGTTTAGTGACGACGGTCTCGGCCGACACCTCGGCGCACAAATGGTCGTCCAACACGGCGTGGAGCGACGATTCGACGGGGAAGCCTTTGTGCAGGAAATGTTTATAAAAATCCTTCTTCGCATCCTGGGTGAAGATACGTGCCACCCCTGAATTGTCAAACTGCGGCCGACCGGCTCGTCCCATCATCTGTAGCACGTCAGTCAGGTCCATGTCTCTGTAGCCCTCGATCTTGGCGTCGTAGAACTGTGTTCCCTTGACGACGACCAGGTGTGCCGGCAAGTTAACACCCCAGGCGAGGGTACTCGTCGCGATGAGGATTTGGACTTTGTTGTTGAGGAACAGCTCTTCGGCCAACTGGCGGTCCGATTCGACCAAGCCGGCGTGATGGAGTCCGATACCAAAACTTATGGCCTCCTTCAACGCGTCGTCCTTGACTCGAGTCAGGTTGAGTTGAAGGTCGTCTTCGTTCATATGGAGGAACCGGCGGGGATCGTCCTCCATGCCACACAGGTTGATGAGGTCCTTGGCAGTGAGACGGGTCTGCCGACGAGAAGGCACAAAGACGATAACGGGTTTGTCGGGACTGTGGGTTTTGACGGCGAGGAAAGTCGGTCTATTCATGGACTGCATCAGCGGGCAGAAGCCCCTAACCTCGGGGAAGCCGTCAATGTAGATCTCAAGAGGAACCGGTCGAACAGAATGGCGGAAATTGAAGAGCCCGCCCTCCTTTACACCGAGCCAGTTGCCTAGATCCGTAGCGTTGGCACAGGCTGTGGACATGCCCAAGAGACGGACCGTGTTGTTGGTCGATGCGGCAATGTAATTCATTCCTGGAGACACGACAGATTGTCAGCCGAGCGGAGAAAGCCCAGGGGTCCGAGAAGATAGAGAAGAAGCATGTCGCTGACAGGGTTCACTCACGAGAGACGATAATCTCCAGGATAGGACCTCGGTCGCCGGCGAGGAGATGGATCTCGTCAATAATGACGAGACTGACTTGGCGCACATAGCCACGGGTTTGCCAGCTTCGAGAGATTCCGTCCCACTTCTCCGGGGTTGTAATGATCACGTCGGCATCCTTGATGGTCCGGGTATCGGGCGTGTTGTCACCTAGGTCAAGTTAGCTGGGTTCCAATACGACTTTCTTGGCTGGGGTTTCTACATAGAATCCATTCAACGACCACTACTTACCAGTCAGCTCGACAAGCTTCAGCCCGAGCGGTTTCGCGAGTCGAGCACCCCAGTCTTTTACACGCTCTCGTACAAGAGCCTTCATCGGGGCAATGTATACGACCTTCGAACCGGGACGCTCTCTAAAAGCCCACCACATAGCAAGCTCTGCAGCGACCGTCTTGCCACTCCCCGTCGGTGATCCCAGGAGTACATTGGCCGGCGTATGATAGAGTGTGTGGAAGATCTGCGTCTGCATGGGGTTGAAGAATTGGAATCGTTGGCCATAGATCTCCTCCAGCGCAGGGTTCTTGAGGGCCGTGACGGGTAAAGGCTGCAAGTCCAGCAGGTCCGTCCAGAAGCTTTCGGTGTCCGGCCGGATGAGCTGCTGAAACGAGACGGGCGTTACGGTTTCCGCACCGAGCCATCTGTCTGATACGGCACGCACGTAGATTTGCGTAGGCAGAGGGTCCGACAAGGGAATGGTGAAGTTGAGCTCATGGTCATCGTTGAGCTTCCTCCTGGTAAGAATGAAGAACTCGTGATGATAGATCTCGGACGTCTCGGAGTTCTCTACCCAGATGTAATACGACTCGGACGTTCCGTGGATTTGGTCGTTCCAACGGAAATCCGGGGTGATGTACAGCTTGATTCGCAGCACGTCACGGTTCAGGGGGGCAATCTCGGCCTCGACACTGACGGTCGGGAAGTTGTTGAGGATCTTTGCAATCGTCTTACCGGCCCCATGGTTATGCACGAGCCCGCCAATCTCTGCCGGTTCCATGTCCCGCATGGCCTCAACGGACAGGGAGTCCTTTGAATCGAGATTGTTGAGTACGGGCTTAGGCAAGTTAAATTGATGGAGAGGGTGCTGGAAGGGCCATATGCGCCTCTCGATGGACTTGGCTAGGGTCAGGAGAACGAGGCACTGGTGGCCCCATCTTCGGTTGAGCGCGATCATGAAGAGCGCTCTGCAAATCCTACCAGACTGTTGAGCCACGTAGTTAAGATCATTGCCAAGAGCAAAGTCCTCGGGCTGTGCCCTCGAGATGTAGGCCTGAAGCAGGATGTTGGTCTTGGTCTGAGGAGTGTCGATGCCGCCGTCCACGGCGCAAGGGACGTTGTCCCTGAGATGAGACAACTCCTTGCTCTCGGTGTCTCTGGATTGTATGTTGTCAAACTCGCCACTCATGCTCATCATCTTGAGGACGTCGGCCTCGGTGGCCTGGGGCTGCATCATGGTGTTGAAAACCTGTATGCTGGTGTGGAGGATGTAGTACTGGCTGGCGATACGGCCAATGTCCTTGCTGCGCAGCTCTTCAGTTACCTCGTTGAAGATGATCATCTGGCACTGCTGCAGCGTCCTCGCAGCCTGGATGGCGAGCTTCCGTCTCCTCTGGACCAGGGTCGGGTCATCCCGAATCTCGGCCCATTCGATGCCGTATGCCATAGGACTTCGCTGCATCCTGACGAACAGATACGAGTATCCGATCCACTGCACCGCCTCGGGGATCGAAGTGACAGTGCCCAGCGCGATTTCCGCGTTCAAATTGTCGACCAGCTTGGACGAAAACTTGGACTCGATGGGCTGCTGTTCTGTGACTGCCGTGAGGTAGTGGTGAAGCTTGTCGTGAGTGGTGCAGATCATACCGATACCGACATCCTCGAACTGCGGGCGACCGGCACGGCCGAAGATCTGGAGTACGTCCAGGATACCGAGATCGACGAACTTGCCGTCCTGCGCGCTGTACACCTGCGTGCCCTTGATGACGACGGCGGCGGCAGGCAAGTTAACACCCCAGGCAAGGGTTGCTGTACAGCAGAGGACCTTGATAACGCCTTCGCCAAAGAGACGCTCGATGAGGTTCCTGTCGGACCGAGCCATGCCGGCGTGGTGAACACCCAGTCCCTTGGGGATCAACTCGCGCAGATCCCTCGCCTTGGAGGACTTCATGTCTCGGAGAGCATTATCGTAGTTGGGATGCCCAGACGGGTCGAAGAGGTCCACGCAGAAATCCTCGGTCGCCTTTTGGTGAAGCATCTTGGCGGTGAGGAGGGTGTCACGTCGCGAATGGACGAATACCATGACCTGATGGCCATGCTGAAGCATCTCCCTTACCTTCTCGAAGGCGACGGTGTCCAGGTTGTCCTTGGACTGTCTCGAGCCCGCCTTCCCCTTGACACCGATGAAATGCTGTTCCAGGGGGACAGGTCGAAACGATGCATCAAAGTAAAATAGGCCCATGTAGCGGTTCACCTTCAAAAAGTCGGCCACGTCGATGTAGTTTGGCAATGTCGCACTGAGACCGACAATACGGATGAGGGATTGGGTGCTCTCGACTTGGCGCTCGGTTCTCGCGACAAGAGACTCGAGGACAGCACCTCGCTCGTCGTGGAGCATGTGCACCTCGTCAATGATCAGCAGCCTGACTTTCTGCACCAACTCGGTATCGCCGGTGCCCTTGCGCGTGACAACGTCCCACTTCTCGGGGGTGGTTACGATGACTTGGGTTTGCACAATCTCCGACTTGGTCAAATGCATATCTCCCGTGTACTCGCGGCACTTGATCCCCAGCCAGGCCAGGCGCGTCCCGAGCTTCTCGGTGACTTCAGCCGCCAGCGCCTTCATGGGAGCAACGTAGACGATCTTGAAGTCGGCCATGTCCACGGCAAACTCGGTGGTAGCCGTGTCCTCTATGGGATTGGGGGTGCAGTAATGCCCGATGGTTTGCAAGATGGTGAGCATGGCGGCGTCCGTTTTACCCTAGACGGACGAAATAATGAGTAAAAAAAACCAGGGGACAACCGCTACTTCTGTACTTACAGCACCAGTGGGAGCGCAGATGAGCATGTTCTCGTTGGTCCTGTAGGCCACAGAGTGGACTAAGCTCTGCATGCGGTTGAGCGTCTTGTAGCCCTTGAAAGTGTTCCGGCACAAGCCATCCATGTCGGCTATCCTGACAAGCGTTTGGCCCGGTGCAAGGCCAGTTTTCTTCCCAGCCGGGATGGAATACTCCTCGTATTTGTCAAATAATTTTCTCTCGCTGCCTTGTGGCAGGGCATATTTACGACCGGAATGGCTCAGGCTATTGCCAGCATCGTGGGCCTTGAAGACGTGGGGGTACTGGGGTTCTCGGGCAAACCTAGGCGCAAGGGCGGCGTTTTTATGCTCGTAGTCCTGCATCCTCAAAGCCTCCTCTCTCTCTTCTCTGGTAAGAATCCTCTTACTGGCGGAATGTTCTGGTACAGAGATTTGCCGAGAAGTGGCCGCTGTGACGATCTCGGATCGGTGTGCCAGAAGTTCGATAATGAAGTCAAGGTCATCCAGGCCAACAAGATCAGTGAGCTGAGATTGGAGTCCATCGTCTCCTTGTTCCGCTGTCAAAACACCAATAATTTGATTTTGCAAGGAGTCACTGGAGAGGCCATTCTTCATAGCAAGGGCGGAGCATTTGCTCACAAACCATTCCGCACCATAAGGGGCATCTCCATCGGGACCAACATCCGGGGCATCAAGATAGTCGCTACTATAATCGTCTTCGTCGTCAACTGAGATGAAATCCCAGACGTCTTGCGCAGTATTGCCGGATGAGTAGCCCTCATTCTCATCATCGAAGTCCAGGGGCGACGGGTCGGAAGGGGGTAACTTCAGACCAGCCAAGGCAGATTTCATGGCTTCAAACTGAGCACGCCATTGAGCCTCTGCTGCGTCTAAGCCGTTGGGAGCCATGATGGGGTCGAAAATTTGAGACGAGTGTGTTTGCGTTTGCGTTTGCGTTTGCGTTTGCGTTTGCGTTTGCGTTCAGAGGAGACCGAGGAGATCGAAGACTAAAGAAGGTAAAATAGTTTGCGAGTTGAAAAAGAAACAACACAAAGACGTCCCTATGATCCCTGTCTAGATGGCGTTCTCTGTCTTGCTTTATAAAAAAGATTGAGGCTCACGACAAAGCGGTTTCAACGTCCAGAACTTGGACGTTGACTGACAACTTAAACAGGAGAAGCCGATGAAAGAAGCTGATGGAAGTCACGGATACATCGGTGATAGAGACCGGACAAACGAGTCATCCGGGGAAGCCTACCTCACTGGAACAATTACATCTTAAAGTACCGTAATCACTCAACAAATAGGACGAGTGGTAGCGCCTTGGCGCCCCATAAAACCTCAGCCCCAGCCAATCATTAAGGCTTCCGGCACTATAGTGTACATAAGACACTTGAGCCTCAATATCAGATGCAAGGTATTTTGGTACAATGACGTCTAGTATTGTATTAGTCATCACTGTCGGAAAAAAGAGGACCCGTTAGGATCCAGGCGAAACACAGTCTGACGTTTACTTTGGGTTACGGCAGGGATGTAGAATCCGGCGCTAGCGTTCGTGTTGAACTATATATACCTCAAGAAGTACCTACATATTAGAGGATTCTCTTTTGGTGTAGTAGTACGTTTTTGAGTGTAATAGTTATGAGCCCGGGAGGAATACGCTAGTGTATTCCTGGAACCTCCGCTGCTAGCCATCCGTTCCCGTTCGAAACCCAGCTAAGGAGATGCCTTAAATAAGCTTTAGTGCCCTAGAAGACCGCTTATACGAAATAAGCCGTGTCGATACAAGTGTGTTTCCAGTCAGCCTTTAAGCACGAAGATTATCCTTATACAGGCTAGGGGGTGTGTTAAACTATATATACCTTAAAAAGTACCTACACATTAGAGGATTCTCTTTTGGTGTAGTAGTACGTTTTTGAGTGTAATAGTTCGTCCTATTTGTTGGGTTATTACGGTATGTGTACTTTATACAATTCATTCCGTACCTTGGGTAAGGTACCTTCTTGAACAACGCAGAATTAACACCTAAGTAATTACCTCCCTTGCGAAGCTGCCCGAGGAAGAGAGAGAGGAAAGAGCAGAATTAAAGAGTACTCTAATTAGAAGCCTGTCCGAGGATCTGGCCCAGAACGCCCCATTACTATTAGGTGGTACGGAGTACTATGCTGGTTACCTTATACGTAGAGCTCCATGATCGGGCAAGGTACATAAGGTCGTGGCAATCTCCAGGTTGTCAAGGTAAAACAAGGAGGAAACCGGGACCTAGTTAGGTAAGGTAGGTTTAGGTAAGTTCGAGGAGATTCGGAATTTTGGTGTCTTCCGTCGGGACTACGAAGTACGAAGTGGCTGAAGCCTCGTGGAGTAAGGGCAGCGTGCATGTGATGCTGGGTACGGACGGAGTATGTACGAGTACAGGGGTACTTGTAGAACGTCAACCGTTACCCTCTCGGAACCCCTCTGTCCCTTTCCCCTATGACCATTCAGCGTCTCTACCGCATCCAGCCTGCCTCTAATAACTACCACCCTCTTCTTTCTTTTTATCTACAAAGCTCGCGGATACTTCCCCGACAGATTAGACGACTCAATACATCCAGCCGACGATTGACACTCAGGCCCCTTCTTGGAATAACGTTTCCTGTCACCCGTAAGGATCGCGCTCCCCCCTCCTTCCAGCCCTTTCAGACCGCCACTCCATCAAAGCCACGGAGTGCAGAGCTGCCTAGGCAGTTAATCAGACGGTCCATTGGCAGGGCACGTCTGGACTTATTTTGCTAACTACCTTAGAACTCTTTTTTACTCTAAGACCATGAAGCTTCATTACATCGGCGTAAGGAGCCCCGCCCCCTGACTGAGCTCCAACTGGCTTCCCAGTGAAGAAGCGTCCAGAACTTTCCGACAACTGACCCGCTGTCCGTCCCTCCAGATCATCCGCAACGATACAAAGCCGGTCGTCGAACTGGTTAGCGAAAAGGAGCTGTCTGCCTATTCGCGCTTCACAAAAGCCAAGTAGGTCCGGCACCGGACCGTCTATCGCATAGACTTGTTGCCGTTAACGCTTTCCCCTCCGCCGCCAACCAGCTATGCAGAGTTCATGACCCTCTTCTCCAAGACGGTCGCCGAGCGAACGAGGCCGGGCCAGAGACAGGATGTCGAAGAACAAGATTATACCTTCCATGCGATGGCGAGGAGCGAGGGTGTTTGTGGAATGTGAGTCTTTACCGTCGCTGCCTCGGCCACACCCACCCCAGCTTGTGGCCCTGGCTGACCCGTCATTCTGCGAGTCCCGAACCCCTATGACGGTACCGTGAAATGCTGACAAGGCTCCGTGCGCTCCGAAGAATCATCTCCGACCATCAATATCCCAGCCTAGTAGCCCATCAGCTGCTTTCCAAGGTGTATGTCTGCACTTGCCGCCACCTCCCACGCTCTTCCCCGCCGTTCAAAGTGCAATTTCACGCTGACCCCTCTTTTCCTTCGTTGTCTTCTCGGCACACAGGGTTGACGAGTTCCTTTCCAAACATCCCCGCTCCACCTGGGCGACTGGCGAACCGACCCTTGCATTCCCCGAGCTCAAGGACTACATCACCAAGTACCAGGACCCGCAGCAGGCCGACAGTATTCTCAAGATTCAGAAGGAGCTCGACGAGACCAAGATTGTCCTGCACAAGACCATCGAGAGCGTGCTGCAGCGCGGCGAGAAGATCGATGATCTTGTGGCCAAGAGCGACGGCTTGAGCTCTCAAAGCAAGATGTTCTATCGTACGTGTATCCCCGGCTCCCCCCCCTTCCCCTTTTTTTTTTCTTTGTATGCCGATCCGTACTCTAACCTCAAGCGCCTCCAGAACAAGCAAAGAAGCAGAACTCCTGTTGTCTGCTCATGTAAGGGGAAGAAAGGAGAAGAAATACTCGGGAAGGAATACGCCGCTCTGTCCGAGGAAACCCCAGAGGCATTTTAGATACACGATTTGAAGTTTCTGATTCTGGCGTTGGCATATCTTTCCTGTCGTCTTTTGGTGGGGCGGGATTTCTTTTTGGAGGACCACTCATTTCCACGTTCCTCTTCCGTTCACTCTCGTTCAATATAACCTGTAATCGGAAAGTGGCATTCGTTTGAGGGAATACTATGGCCTCGGACGAGTTGGGGCTTTCTGCATGGCCATGATAACACAGCGAGTCTTTCCCTGCCTTCGATACAAGGAGGGTTGTGCAGTGTATGGTGAGGAGACGGTTGGCCCTACCTCTGATTCTGCTTCGTGACTGCGCGATCCGTCGGCGTGCTCAAGGGAAGCTAGTAATCAATCGACGAACTCACGAAGCAGGACCGGACATAGGGCCAACCCGTGCGTTCCTCTCGTCTTCTCAACAAGAAGAGCACCGGAACGACGCTCTCCAAACTGCGCATCTTGCAAACAGATAATATATGATGAAGGATCTAAAGAAGTCATATCATCGAGGCAATTCGGTATCATTGCCAGGACGTGCCTCCCTCTAACTTCCTTCCAGCCCTTAAATGGTAATGGTATCTATCTAGTTGACGACCCTCATGGTTGCGCCAATAAAACCGACTACAGGTAATTCTATCGACATGTGTCGTCGTGCCACAAAGAAAATCAGTGTTCTTGTCAGAGTCACAGGCGCCCAAAAGTCCCGCCTATAGTCCGCCCTCATTTTCCAGGCTGAAAACGTTACCTCACCAGCGAGGTCCAGAGTGAAGGAGCAGAAAGTAAACAACAAAAAGCAACATCTCTTCGGATGTGGGAGAGATGCATGGGCATTGAGGTGAGTGCGAAGTAAATACAAAAAGAAAATGTCCGTACAGTAAGTAGGGAACCTGCACCAGTCTCAAGCGAGTGGGCGTTGAAAACTCTCCGCATGTCATTTACGTGAGGCCGTTTTCCACGACTATCCATTCGCTCTTCCGATGCTCTGCCAGGGGCGACCCAATCTGGGGCTCCGGAGGCGTGACGACGGTCGGCATGGCCATCTTGGTAGCCGCCAGCCTCCCGTTCTCGGCCAGGTTGGTCAAAACCGGGGCCTTGGTCTTCTTCACCGTAGGCGTCCCCGGCCCGAGTCTGTCCCCAAGCCTTTCCGGTAGACCGTTCATGCCGCTGGGTTCGTTGGCCTGTTTTCTCGGCCTGCTTGCGAGACCCTTCCGGAGCATGTGGCGCTGCTGTTGTGAAATGCTGATCTGACGAGCAATGGAGATTTCCACGGCGGCGTTCAGGGCCATCTCGTCGCCGAAGCGCTCCTGCGAGGATTTCTTGGCGTGTTCGGGGACCGTGCGGGCGGGCGACGAAACTGACCGGCCTCGAGGAGAAGTCGTGGCATCCAGCGTGGTGGCTACTTTCCAGGCCGGTTCCCGAACCACGAGCCTCAGGCGTTCCTTGTTGCGGGCTGTGGAGCTGGTTTCTTTGGTAGCCAACTGCGCCGTCATTCTTGCCTGTTTGGTTCGCTGTTCTGGAGAGTCTTGTGGTGCAATTTGGCCGGGCTCTTGACGAACATGGTCTCCTGTGGCCGACTCTGACCTCTCGCGTGGCAGGGGACTGGAACCAGGTTCGAGCCTTCCGTTGGCTGCCGCTGCTGGTGATGCTACTGCTTGTGCTGTTGTCACTACTGTCGGCTTCTTAGCGTACATTACGGTCTGTCTGGGGTGTGCTGGAAGCCCTGTCGGCAGAGTATGAGGCGGAGATGCGGGTGACGTTGATGTGCCAGAAGGCGGCGGTGGTGGGAATAATGTAAAAGGTGGCGCGTGGGAGGTTGCTGTTGTTGGCGGCCGTTGACCTTCATCCTCCTTCACATCTTCGTCCCGCAAGGCCACCTGGCTGTTGGTCGTAGACCTCAGCTTTTCCACTGTGGCCTGACGCCGAGTGAGGAGAGCCGAAGAGGACGATTGGGTCTGTAGCAGGTTGCCAAACATGACGCTATAGCGCTCCATGGTGATATTCGGTATCTCAACATCCAACAAGGGACTCCGACTCCCCGTTGTATCAGAAGTAATGCCTTGTGAGGCTCGTTGTCCCGTTTCTCCGTTTACGCGCAATGCGTGTTTTGATGGTTCCCTACTTGGTGTCTCGTGGGGTTGATCAAATTCCTCAAGGGCATATGGAAAAGGTTCGGTTTGAGAGCGGACTATTAAGGGTTTATGTTTTGGCTGCCTGCGACCTGGCACGCTTCTGTCCAAGCCACTTGCATAAGTGGGAGTCAAGACAGACTTTGGCGCTGTTGGGCCAGACGTGGGCATAGGCATAGCCACGGGCACAGACGCCGGCACCGGCGCCGGAGCAGCCCTCGGGGCAGGCTTCTGACTCCTGCTTTTGGACCTCCCAAAAAGTTTCCATCTGGTGGACTTTTGTCTTTGCGATACAGGTGCTATCGGTTCCGGGACAGATTCCAGAGGTACCGGCGTTGCTGTCATCCCCATGGACGGAAGTTGCCAGTTGTTATAAGCACCCGGCGGCGGATGTGTAGGGCTGCCTAATGCCATGCCGATGGTAATAATTTCGTTCCGAGTATGCAGAGACTCGGGCGTCCCCGTCCTGACAGAGATCGATTGCCACGTAGGTGAGCCGTCCCAGGCGCTGTCCCGAGGTGATGGCAGTTTGCCTCGTATAGGAATATGATATGACTTGAACTCCCGTGTCGCAGCCCGCGTATGAATGTATAAGTCGTCCTTGGACCGTCGTTTTTCGAAGCTGTTCGTGTCGGCGGCTGCTGCTGCTGCTGCTGCTGCTGATGATGATGACGACCCGTTGGGACCAGGACCAGAACTTGTGCCCGGTCGTTCTGGCATGTCCAATGCCCACGGATGAGAGACTACGGGCGAGAGAAGTAGGGGCGCTGAGGGCGAGGCCGTCCCCTCGTTTTGACCGGATGTCATATCCCGCTTCGCCGGTGGACAACTGGGCATCAGGGGCTCATCGCTCAGAACCAGGGACCCTTGGCCGTGCGCAGGCCTGTCCTTGAACGGTCTGGAACGATGGACGAACTCGAACATTCTCCGCTAGAGAATCGTAGGGTGTGAGAGCGATCCCTGCTGGGAGGGGTTGTTTTGGATTTACACGTTGTACGGCCGAGATCGACAAGCACTAGGTACTCGCGACTGGAGAAGGGAACGAACGAGGGGGAAGAGAGGGGGGAGGAGTGGAGAGAAGAGGAAAGAGTGTGGAAAGAGGAGAGGGCGGTTATTACCTCGTCCTACTATGTATGTACGAATGCAGATAGGGATGGATACCGTTCATCGACTCCCGTTCGGAGGACGTTCTGAATAGAGAACGGAACCAACCACGGTAGGTATCGTATCGCGAGAAAACGTACAACGTACAACGTACATTAGGTCCCAGAAGTTGCGCCGGGCGGTGGACAAGGCAACAGAGAGAGAATTCTTCAGCGGAATGGTCTCATTTGTCTGTTCCCTTCGTTCATTTCGGGATCATTGGGATTCATGGGACACACCATGGCACCTATGCATCCTATCCGTACTTTCAGATACAGGTTGTGGTCCTGTGAATGCTTCTCTACAGGGTCATGCCTGTAATGGCTCGCTGAGTCCAGGGGTTATCGGTCGTTTGAGATGATTTGAGGCTAGAACTCTGGACTCATTCGCTTTTTGACGTGCGACGACAGAGATCAGAGGCTAAACCCCCAGAAAAGCGCTTGAAGGGGTACCGATACGGATGCTCTGTCCGTATCCGTACGGTAATTACTTGTACTCCGTAATTATTTACTTGGTTGAGGGACAGTCAAAACCAAGAAATAAAATGACAGGAGGTCACATTTTTATTTGCCCATACCCATGGATTTCGTACTGCCGTACTACGAAGTACCTTAGGTAAGGTAAGTCCCGTCTCCTCGTGCATGAAGCCGTTTTTAGCCAGCGAAGTACCTAGTTAGTAATGTTTCAAATTACACTAAGTGTACTGGTTACCTATGCATCGAGAATCCGTACGTACATCAGGTACCTTAGGTACCTTAATAAGGTAATCACGGAGTACACTGTAACTGTACGTTGTCCAGCGATTTGTACAAGACTTCCGGTCTTCAAGTGGAGGAAACATACAAAAGAAGTAGCAGACAGGCAGACGGTGAGCGCAGTTTAGATTATTAATATGATAGATACTGAGCGCTACAAGAAAATTTCAGTGATGGCAGTCAAAGGAACGTGGTTGTTTCGGCATGCTTGAACCGGAGCAGATGGAGAAGATCAAATATGGCGAGACTCGAATCGTCTCATGGCTGTACCATGTTCAAACCATGTCCATGCTGCCTCAAGACGGTAGTCGTACTCATTACGCGTAAGGTATTATTGGGCGTCTGTACATCCTCCGTCACGGGCGAAGTAATACCTAAATACTGCGTATATTCTCCTGGTGACAGTGCGGTCTGCGGTTTGGCTCCCGCTAGGGAGGAGCCTGAAGAACTTGAGGAACCTTTGAGTATGACACTGCACGCGGCATCTGTGCATCGCCGCACAGGGCCGTCTGATCCAAATCGACAGCCACCGCACGGCCAGCCCACGTTTAGATGAGGTCTCCGCATCCGGCTCGCAGATCTACTCTGGACATCGGACCGGATCGGGTGGTTGTCACTCGTGTCTTGATCTCCAGCTCCTGTGTTGATGCCTTGGCTTGGTGTCTGAGCTCCGGGCAATCGACTATCAGTTTTCACCTTGACACCGACAGGCCGCGCAATTCGGAATCCCCGAAGCTACGGAGTACTGTCCGGGCAACATGTGTAAATGACATCCACGGCCTTGACGGAGGTTCAAGGAATTGGAGCAGTATCACACTGTGGGATCAAGGTGATTATTATCGTAAACAAACTCGTCGAAACCGGTCGTCCTAATAAGGTACCAGAAAATTTCCTACTTATTTATTAGCAGAGTAGGAGTATCAATTGCAAGGCCCATATGTTGAATTGATTCGTACATTGAATTTCGTTTTCATCTGCATCATGTGACTTGTGTACGTTTATTGGTTACGAACCGGTCACTCCCCGGCCTCCCCGTTGAACTTGATTATGGTTATAAAGCTTTGAGTAGCAACCTGTGGAAATGACGCTACTAGTGGAGGTGCTCAGGAGGGTACATACAACGTACTAAATACCCCGCCATCAGGCACCTCACTTTCTCCGAAGTGCCAAAAGAAACTTGACCTCAACCGCACAGCCGAAGAAAGGCAAACTCGGAACATTTCTCCTTCCTCCCGACCTCAACATCTCTCACTCAGATCTCGCTCAAGTACATAGCCTTTCTTCTCCTCCCGTTGGAAATTTCTGCTTTTTGTCTTTAATTCTACCTACCTTCTTCCACATCTTCAACCATGTCCTGGCAAGGTGCGTTGACCCAGAAACACCGCCATGCAACCCCACCTCCAAGGAGGTCGAATGACTTCCCCCCCCACCGAGGACGTCTTGAAGGTAGCCATGGCTGACATTTTCCCCAACTACAGCTTACGTCGATACTAGGTATTTACACTCTATGTCTTCTCTATCCAACTACTTTAGCTTGAACTGGCTCTTCTGTCGATCAGGGGGTGTGCGGGGGAATAAAAACAACCAAGACGACTCATGAGACACGGAAGAGACCCGTTTCTGACACATGTTTGCTCCACCAGCCTCGTTGGCACCGGCCATATTGACAAAGCCGCCATCATCAGCATCGCTGGCGACAGCACTTGGGCAGCCTCGGCTGGCTTCAGCGTACGTCGTATAGTCGTCACTCTTCTCCATGCTCAAACCCGCACCGCCCCATTCGCCAATATCACGGTCCAAGATGCTGATCATTCTACTCCCACCGCGCAGCTTTCCGCTCCCGAGATGAAGGCCATTGCCGACGTCGTTACCGATAAGGCCGGCGCCAAGGACAGGGCTTTCGCAGACGGGCTGTACATCGCTGGCGAGCGATACGTTATGGCAAGAGCTGAGGACGGCGCTATTTATGCGCGCAAGGTAAAGCAACCTTGACACATCGCTGCGAGTCGAGCTGTGTTTGCTCTTTATTATTGTCGCTATCATATGGCTGACGTATTGGTGCTGCCTGATGTAGGGTCGAGAGGGCGTTGCCGTTGCCAAGACTAACCAGGCCATTCTTGTCGGCCATCACAATGAGGAGGGTGTTGCCGGAAACGCCACCCAGGCTGTACAGAAGCTGGCCGACTACCTCATTGGCCTTAAGTACTAATATGGAGGAGCTGGTGTTAATTCTGGATTGAAGACCGAACGGCTCCGAAGATCGGGACGGGAGGAAGTGGCCGGAGGACAGCAAGGCAGAAAGAGGTTATCCAACAATCCACGGGGGCGTCGAAGATGCGGGGTCCTCAAGAGACAGACATCCCTGCCGACGTGCGATGTGTCAACGATCAACGACAAATTAGAAAGGGGAAGGGACAAAGTTAGCGCCTACAGCGGTAGATCTTCTGCCCGGGCGGTAACTACCCAGTGGGAGAGTGAGGCCGATATGAAATCTTCATTCCGAGTCCCCAAGTGCGTCAAGACAAATATATGACTGATGGCTCCACCTCACAAAAGAGGGTTGACAAGCATCAAACTTTTTCTAACAGTTGTCTATCCCCCATAACCTTGGCCCTCGCCGATTCCGTTAGACTTCAGTCGGTACAGTTATAATCCAGCCCAAGGTATCATACAACGTCCTTTCAGCCGGTCCAGCAACACATTTTGGCGTCTCCACGAAATGCACCGTGTCTCGCCTGCCAACGCCGGTAGCAAATAAGACAGACATCTCGGTCTGTGCCAGCTGTCCGCAACTCCATTACACAGCCGAAATTATACACTGCCAGGCCTATGGCATGTTCCTTATTGTTTTCTTGTGGAGCGGGCACCCCTACCGCGAACCGGACGCTCTCATACTGGGAGCTCGGCGTTCCGTCGACCCAGTCCTAAGCGGTCCATGAGGAGACCGACGTACGGCCCTATGACAGGGAAGCCCCGTGCGAAGGATGCTATGGTTCCTAGGAAATCCCCAAAGAGCACCACTATGCCGTACAGCTCAACGCAGAAGCCTATGAGAGGCCACCGCAGCAAGATGAGCAGTAGGCCACCGAAAAAGGCGGCAGTGCCTTTGGCTTTTTGTTTTCTCGCGAAAAATAGGAGGGTCTTTTGCGGTCCGATGATGATAGTTAGTCCGATGAGGAAGAGTATCTGTAAGGGAGGTCGCATTCAAGGGTCAGCATAGGCGCATTCTCGTTCGCAGTATCGTTTGCGGTTTGGGATAAGGTAGAAAGGGAATGCGGTAGGGAGGAGCAGGTGTTCGTTACATTTCCCATTGCGAGCCTGCAGCGAAACAATAATCAGTTTGAGTCGCAACAAACAGATTATAACAGACGGGGAGAGACTCACATGGCGCGGTCAAAAAACAACATCACTCCGCCTATGAGGAAGAGACCTCCTAATACAGTGAACCGAGGGGCTCGCTATCAGTGGGAGTTCACGGGGTCTTGAGCCACTGTCACTCATCCCTGGCAGAATGCGCGGGAGAACCTACCGCCAGAGCAAAAGGCCACCCCGATTTCTAGAGACATCGCCAAGTCAGCCATAATGGAACTGTTGGCAAGCATTGAGTAGGCCGTCTAAAATCTGAAGCCGTTTGCGTCGTCCATTGATCGTATCATTCCCAATGCCATGAGTGCAAATGCGCCAGGGTGACGTACTCTGGGAATCTGATAACCACATGGCCGACATCTTCGCTGTGCTGTGGTCGACGGAATTCGACTCGGGACTGGAGAGATGTAACTGGATGACGGCGTCCTTCACACTGGGAAATATATGGGGGTTGATTCACTGGTGAACAGGAGCTTGCGGTGCTATGGGATAGATAATCAGAGGAAACGTATTCATAAGGAAATTGCCAAATTTCGCCTTCGAATTATTGTTATAATTCTCGAAGCTACGAGCAATTATTACCAACACGCGATCTGTCGTGTCGGGCAGCCTTATCGGGGTACAAGGATCTCAGAATTTGTCCAAAGTACATATCTTTCTTAGACAGATAGGTATGCAGGTGGACGGGAAGGCCTATGCGATAAGCGAATTATCGGGTTTATCTTCCCCGGAAAACTGAATGCCAAGCAGGTCGTTTTCCTTTCAAGCTCACTTGACCATTTTTCTTCACTTTCTCTTTCCGTCTTTCCTCCCTCGATCTGGGGAGAAAAAAACACAAAAGGGAAAAACGACGACGCAACTGACCACCCCTCCCTGGTTGCTTCTATTGGCGTGTTCTATTGCTACTATCATCCACACTGCAACGACGATCTCGAAACTGAGGAAGGACAAGTCTGTGAATACAGCGCTTCATGTGATGACCCCTGCACCTCCGGGTCGAGTCGCGACCATGGACACAAAGACGCAGCTGCGAAAGCACATTCCTACCGCTGACTGAAAAGATTAACGGCTGTTTTTTCAACACTGCACATCATTGTCTGTATCTGTTTTATGACCTCCTATGCTAAGTTGACTGAGCAAGCATCCACAATGTCAAGGAGGGGACGAATGAAGAGACTTGCGAGCTTCAAGGTGGCATATTCCTTTTCCGCACTTTGCGAGACGCAAATATCTGAGCAAATATGGCTCTTTGGCTACAGAGAGTCGTGCTCCAGCGTCAACGGCCAGTAAATTCGTTCCATTGGTTTAGCGACCTTGGGTAATCTTCAGAATATCACGGCACTTTTATGTAGTGACTGTATATGCCGCGGCGGCTGTAGCTCTACGCTACAGCAACTGAGTACGTCTTTCTATACGTTCTCGGTGATCTGTCAGATTACAGGCACAAAGCAATTATTCTTACCTCGATCACAATTAAGCCGGAGCGTCATCTAACATCCCTTGGCTGAGAAGCGAAGGGTGCATAGGCGAGGCTTGACTTAGATGGTCGTACATATATATCCTATGCTACGCATATTAAAAACTGAATATACTAAGGCGTTCTGCCACCCCAAAAATGTTCTTCAACCTTCCTGTGCCGTTTCCCGACTCCGCCAACGCCATGCTATCCGTATGATTACCCCCACCCTAGAGCGATTTCATTGTGGAAAAATCGGTGCTGCCACTATCATCCCAAGACATCCCGAGACAAAACTTGAATTGTTCGCCCCCAAGCTCATTTGAGAACAACATGTGCGCCCCGAGCCTCTAGGTATTGTTCCGCGACACCCTGCGGCAAGCTTCTGATGAAGCTGAACACCTCCCTATCGTGGTAGCGCAGCCTAGTCTTGGGGTCCAGGTATGGCGCAGGAAGGCCCGTCGCGTCGCAGTAGTGCCTGGTGTGCGCCAGCGACGGAGCGGATTCGATGTTCGTGTACGTTACGCTGGGTGCCGTAGACGCACCAGTTGCAGAGGCGGCAGCACCCTGCCGCAGGGTCTTTTCGAGGACGAGTTTCGAGAGGCTCCGGGATGCCTGGGAGAGGTTGGGGTTTTGGTTGTTAGGGAGCGCATCAGCGCCATTGGCTGGGGTGGAGGAGCCACTGGTCGAGAGCCCGTCGTCTTTGCTATCAGGCGCCGCAAGGGTGGGCATCGGGGTGACGGATCCTGAGACGTCCTGCGGAGTGGCGACAGAAGAGGACGCCTCTTTGCGGGAAGCATCCATCAAGATTGTCTTGATGTTCTTGTTGCGGCGGTGGTTTGGGCGCCAGGAGGACGCGCGGAAGGTTTTGTGGACGGAATGAAGGTCGAGCTCGTCGAGGAGCTTCTGGTGTGCGAGCTGCGCTTCGGTTGGTGCAGCCATCTTTACGACGGTGATACCCGTGCTTCAATTCGAAAAGAAACAGAAGTTACTTGTGACACGGCAAAGGAACAGAAGTTGTTCGTGATGTGACATCTGCAAGATGGCAATGGAGCATCGATAAATGGATGTGAATTGATGTGAGGGATACCCGGAAGTCGAGCTTGAATATTCTGCCGGATTTAACCACCTGCCCTATGCGTTACAGCCACTCCGGAACATGACATGCACCGGGGAAGGGACAACGGACTTCGGAGGACTCCGTATTGGAGAACCACCCGCTGAGCGATCTAGGCAATTCTTAGAAGAAGAAGAAAAACACATGTAGCAGTACCTTCGAAACAAATATAGAGCATGTCTCTGGCGGTTTATTTGTTACAACTATCCTGGTCGTCTGCCAACCCTCACACATTTCAACAGTTCAACCTCACCCTTCCTATGGCAAATAATGCTGGCTGAGAATGATTGCGGGAAACGCGTCATGATGGGGGCTTGAGGTTGTCCGTGGCTACAGTGCGAGTTAGCAAAACTACCATTCCTGATGAGGTGCACGACCAAAGAATCGAGCCGTACCCTCTAGATGGAAGAGCACGTTTGATCTGTAGTTCTTGAACATCTGAGCTACAAGCTCGACGTTCATATTCTGAATGTTGATCTCCTAGGAGCATACACCTGTGAGTGCTCGTTCTGGGCGAAGATGTACACAGTTAGAGCCAGGAGACTAGAGTTCGACTTCACCTGAAGTTGCTTATTCATGACCACGATAGACTCGTTCAACTTCTCCTATTACCCATTAGCTCACCTGATAATAAGAGTAGATTGGCATAATTTTGTGGATTATCTGCTTACCACGTTCGTGATGATCCGCGACAGGAGCAGGTTCTGCTGGTGCTCGTGAGGGCTCTCCTGAAATTCATCCACATCAGCGAGTTACATGGCCAGGACAAGTGTACCACTATCCCAAAAAATTGCGCATACCATTTTAGCAAATCTCGCCGGAATGGAAGTGTCGTGTTAGATTAAAGCTGAGAACATATGCACCCGCTTGACGTGTAAATGGTGTTGCTGGCTGTCCAATACCTTACCAAGTTAGTTGCGGGGAGCTCTGTCGCAATAATGAACTTGCTATACAGAGTATGGGATAGTATCCCGTGCGGAGTACACAGTGCAGGATATCAGGTACCTCCATAAATAAGGTACCTTACCTTCGGTAATTGCCAATTGGACACCACCGCCACGATACTACGGTCGGGTTGTCACATCACTGTAAGGTACCTCCCGGTACTTTACGCTCCTGCTTACCTTACAGTAGGTACCTTAGCTTCAGAGCCCGCAGAGGTGGATCGGCCTTTTCAGCCTCGTCTTCCACATGTCGCGTTATCGCGATCTCCAATACCCATTGTCGCAAATACCCGGTGCTTAATGATGGAAGAGTAACCGCTTCCAACCAAATCCCACTCTTCTCAGTAACTCGCCAATTCTAACTTTTCTTCCTTTCGGCTTCCATCACTCTTCTTGGGCCGTTATTACCCCCTCTAAATGCCCACAGCATGCCGTCTTCTCATCCTTTCCCACCACGATAACGGTCTGCCGCCTTCTTGCTTCCGGACACCTGCGCAAACAGCATACGACATCAACACACGAATAAATAAAGGAACCTCAAGAGATGGCGCCATCTGCCATAGAAGAGGCTGTAATCGCCTCGAAGATGCCGCCGCCAAAGTCGTATCCGCCTCCAAAGATCTTCCCTGCCAAGGAATCCAAGTTCGAAAAGACCATTGCAATCCAGCGTGACGGACGTGAAAAGGCATTGGCCCGAGCTAACGAAAACCCAGTCATCGTCATTGACAATGGTAAGTTAGGAGATTGGCTTTGTGGTAGGATAGGATCGCACTCTGACCACTTGTAGGATCCTTCAATGTTCGTGCAGGCTGGTCGTTTGAGGACAACCCTCGCTTTAGCATCCCTCCCATCATGTCCAAGTTCCGCGATCGTAAAGCCGGGAAGACGTATTCATTTGCCGGGAATGATTGCTATGTCGATGCCAACTCTCGGAGCCATATTCGGAACGCCTTCGAACAAGGAAGCGGCGTCATAACCAATTGGGATGCCATGGAACATGTGCTGGACTACATCTTCATCAAGCTCGGATTCAACGACATCGACGGGTCGGTGGACTGGCCCATTGTTATGACAGAAGCTGTGGCGAATTTCACATACGTGCGCAAGAGTAAGCGACTGCATGGTCTGCATGGCAGTTCCAATTGAGCATGCGACTGACTTGTCTTTTACAGCCATGTCGGAGACATTATTCGAGTGCTACGGCGTCCCCTCGGTAGCGTACGGTATCGATGCTTTGTTCTCCTACAGACACAACAAGGGCAACACCGGTCTCGTGGTCTCTTCTTCTCACACCTCCACCCACGTCATTCCCGTCTACAACCAAAGACCCCTTCTCGCCCAGGCCACTCGGCTGAACTGGGGCGGCTGGCACTCGGCTGAATATCTACTGAAGCTACTCAAACTGAAGTATCCGGCATTCGTCAACAAGCTTAATTCGTCACAAGCAGAACATATGCTCCGCGACTACTGCTACTTGTCCGCCGACTACGACAACGAGCTACGAGGTTATCTCGACTGGACTGGCCTGGAGGACCGAGATATCGTCGTCCAGTACCCTTATACGGAGGAAGTTGTCGTACAGAAAAGCGAGGAAGAGCTGGCACGCATTGCCGAGCGAAAGAAGGAGAGCGGTAGGCGGCTTCAGGAGCAGGCTGCCAAGTTGCGGCTGGAGAAGCTCATGAAGAAGGAGGAGGAGCTTGAGTATTACAAGAATCTGCAGACACGCATTCAGAATGCGACAAACAAGAAGGATGTACGGCGAATGCTGGACGCCGGCGAAATGAAAGACGAGGCCGCTTTGGAGAAGACCATCAATGCTCTCGACAAGGCGGTTCGGAAGGCGCAGACGAAGGACGTGGGTGGTGACCCCGAGGAAGACCAGCAGCAGCCCGTTTTTGACCTCCTAGACGTACCGGATGACCAACTAGACGAGGCCGGACTCAAAGCAAAGCGCCAACAACGCCTGCTCAAGTCCAATCACGACGCACGCGCGAGAGCCAAAGCCGGAAAGGAAGCCGAGAAGGCGCGCATTGAGGAAGCAAAGCGATTGGACGAGGAGAGGCGCGAGAAAGATCTCGAAGGCTGGCTGGAGGACAAACGGCGGGCACGCGCCGAGGCCCTACAGAAGATGAAGGAGCGGGATCGCCTCAAACAAGACCTCGGCAACCGCAAGTCGCTCGCATCACAGAGCCGCATGAAGACCATAGCGAACCTCGCATCGGATAATCCGACCAAGAAGCGCCGGCGCGGCGGGGACGACGATACGTTCGGAGCCGACGACGATGACTGGGGTGTCTACCGCACCATCGCCATAGGAGACAACAGCGACGACGAGCATGAAGAGGAGGACCTGATGGCCAGCCTCAAAACCTGCGAGCAGGACCTGCTGCTGTACGACCCCGGCTTCACGTACGAAGATACCTACGAGGCGCAATTGGATTGGTCCAAGTCCATGCTGCACGCCTTCACCCGAGGCCCGCGACCATTCGACCCGGCCTCGGCGGCAGAACTCAACCAGCTCCACCTCAACGTAGAGCGCATCCGCGTTCCCGAGGTGCTCTTCCAGCCGTCCATCGCGGGCGTCGACCAGGCCGGGCTCGTGGAAATGGCGGGGGACATCGTCAACCAACGCCTCAGCGGCGCCATCGCGGGCGCCGACCGCGACGCCTTCCTCCGGGACATTTTCCTCACGGGCGGCAACACGCTGTTCAAGAACTTTGAGCAGCGTCTCCGCGATGGCCTCACACCCTTGCTCCCTGCGGATACGCCGCTCAAGGTCCGCCGCGCGCAGAACGCCCAGCTCGATGCCTGGAGGGGCGCCGCTGCCTGGAGCGGCTCCAGTGCTTGGAAGGCGGCGACGATCACGAGGGCTGAATACCTTGAGAAAGGTTCCGAGTATCTCAAGGTGAGTCCTCCCCCCCCCCACCCCCACCCCATGTCCCACTCGACCCGTTTCTCTCGCTCTCTTGTGCAACTTGATCTAGTCACAAATTCGCCAACTGATTGGAAATAGGAGCACGACCTGGGAAACCCTGTCTCGACTGTATGAGTATTCTTCGGCTTCGGCTGATCATGAGAAAGTAAAGGGTAGGCAAAAAAAAAGGAGTTTGGTGAAGGGAAAGGAGCCAGCGGTAATTATGCTGATTTTCGACAGCTCTCACAGAGGAGGCTTGGCATTCTGTTGCATCGAGGGGAGTGCTGGGAGACAGACTCCTGCGAGTGTAAATTACGGAATATAGATTGAGGAAATAGTCACTTAAACCAGATCTTTCAAGTCCTCCATACTTGTATGTTTTCAGCTCCCAGGTTTGGGCTCCACGATTATCTGAGTATGAATGGGACTGCCTACCTAGGTAATACTCAAATAATATTCGTATCGTCGGCCTTTGTGTCTTCCGCGCCGTTGCCTTTTCTGGCTACACGAGAGCGAGCTACCAAGGCCCCCTCAGCCATGGGGGCCTCACACTCCTAATCATAGGAAGGAAAGAAAGAAAGCAGGAAAAGAAGCGTGGGAGCATGAGACGTGGTAGGAGAAGACCTGCATTCCGCATACTTTGCCTGCACCGAGTCGTCTTACCTGGAATATGACGCTCAAGTTTGCTCAGAGATGCTCTCCGCCCTTCTTACCTTCTCACATGTCGTTCAAGGCGATTATCATGGTGGTGCTTAAAGAAAGACTCGAAAACCATCGCGAGGGCATAGTCTCAGTATTAATCGAAGAATGGGCCATATCCCCCACTGTCTCGCTTCCCAAGATTTTGAATTTCAAGTGTCGTTGGACCCAAACTTCCTGCGAGACGCACCTGCAGCAGCCCATCCATACAAGGCAGTGTAGTTGGCTACCGCCAAGAACCATTACACAGATAACATTTGTCCGTAGGGGCAGAATGAAACAGACAAAGGATCAAGGCTCCCTGTAAGAAAACAAGATTCTCCTCCTACCCAACGAAAAAAAAAATTGAAAAACAAGAAAACAAAAATCGCCATTTTTCAGCTAGGCAGTGCTATAACAACCTGCTGTCTGCGCCGCATAGCAGCGACACACGAGTCGGCGAGCATCGCACGGCACAGCAGGTCCCCTTTGCTGACCGTAGCATGACAACGATGGTGTCCTTCAGTCTTAAGCAGAAACCCTGGCACAGAAAAGGGGGACCAATACAGGAAGAATCGGGCGAAAAGATGAAAAATAAGACAACAAACCGCACTTGCACACAATAAGCCCGAGCCCCTGGGCGCGATTCCCACCCGTCCATCGAAAATGAGATGGGGACCATCTGAAAGCCTAAACGCCGATTCACCCATGGACAATGACCAAGTGGCCAAAAATCCGTTACTGCGCATTGCTCTTCCCCTCCCAGAATAAACCTTACATCGAAGCGGGAGGGGCCGCCATCCCATCTTGCCGCAGCTGGCGGGCAATCTCCTCCTCGTCCCGCGTTTCCTGTTTGACTGGCTCGAAACGTTGTTCCTTGTTGGGGAACTGCTGGCGTTCTGCCATTTGTTCGTGCGCAGCCAGACCGGCTACTGCCTGTGCGACAGCCTCGAGTGGGGTGCCTGCGGCCGCATTACTGGCCGCAGAGTCGCCGGGATTGGCAGGCTGCGGTGCCTGAGCACCATTCTCCCCGGGAGGAGGTCCCTGGGCGTTAGGGGGAGGATGGGGTGGTTGGCTGAGGTTAACGTTAGGCGGCGGCTGCGGGTACTCGCCCTGGGCATCCAAGAGACGAGACTGTAGGTGAATGACATATTCGCGGAGCGCATAGTTCTCGGATTGCAGCAGCTTGAAGCTCTGCTCCATCTCCATGAATTCGCGGACCTGTTGCTCAAGCTTTTTAATGTACCCTTCTTTGCGCTGCCGGAAGGCTCTCTACAGAGTAAATCGTGTCAGCCGAGGAGAAGCGCAAAGGTGGACGAGTGAAACGGAGCTAAAGATTGAGACAAACCTGAGCAGCTCTGTTCTGCGCAGCGCGCTTGGATTGAGAGAGCTCGCGCTTAGCCTTGCGCCCGTCAGCAGAGGGCGCCGGTTCGTCGATGGCCATGGGATCAGCGGTCGGGTCAGGGTGCGGTTGCTGAAGCTGCTGAGGCGGCTGAGGATGCTGAGGATGCTGTGGCTGCTGGGGCTGCTGGGGCTGGCCTGCCTGCGCCTGAAGTTGGGGTTGGGGTTGAGACTGAGGCTGAGGCTGGGACTGGGCCGCCGCAGAAGAACCGATGTTAGCAGCGCCCGGCGAGGCCGCAGGAGGTTGAATCCCTGCTGGCATCATATTCTGGGCAGGCGGCCCAACACTAGATCGAGCTCGGAGATCGGGGTGAATATGCGCCTCGGGGTCAAGAGGGCTCGATATCGTACCAAGCGCGTCGGGGGCTGGAGGTGACACGCCGTTGGCATAGCTATGAGCAGGGGACGGAGAGACAGGCTGCGGAGGCTCGGGATGAGCACCACGGGGTGAAGTAACAGAGCCTGGCTCGGAGTTGGGCGGGGCGCGGGCGTTAAACACGCCGAGATGGTCTCTAAAATGGGCGTCTGGGAAGGTAGAGATGCGTCAGCGGTGCGCGAAGAAATATTGGTCATCGAGTGGCCTCGGTCAGGGAAGGAGACGGCGTAAGCAGCAATCGCCGAAGGGGGGATCGATGGGTAGGGTTTTTAGGGGATGCGGTGGATGGGATGAATCGGCGTGCCGTGAGAAATCGGGGGAAGTGGACCAGACCAAGCCTCAACCACCGCGCAACTATGGCTTCGGAGGTTAAAAGGTTTGTTACAGGGCGTGTGTTTCGGTCCCGAGGGGTGGAGGCAACAGTTTCGACTTCTCACAGAGACTCCGGCAAAGATAACGGCACTTCCATCTTGAAGAGCCAAGGGAGCGGGAGATACTCTGAAAAGCGCAGTCAAGGGATGGGGCGGATGAGGAATGACGGCATGTGAGAGTATGAATTGAGAGTCGCATAGGTCAGGGAGCGGAGAGAGTCCCAGGGAAATGACAGTAATCGCGCAAGGACATTATATAGGGAGGAAAGAGAGTATGCAGAGAAGTCGGACTGGGAAACAGGGCCTCACCACTACACGCGGGGAGAACGCGACTCTCTCATACCAGGTCATAACCGGGTGCCAGGAACGTGTGAGTGTGCTGAGATAGAAGGAAAACAACAGGCGATAGAAGAGGAGCTTGTAGGAGAACAGTAAGGGAAGAAGAAGGTGGAAGAAAAGAGAAAGGTATGAAGGAAGGCATATGGAGGTTTGCTTGAACGCGTGTGTCGCGCGAGAGCGAGAACCGGGGCATGAACATGGACAACCTTTAAGTGAGGGACGGACGGGATAGATAGCATAGAGAAGAAGCGAAGAAGCTGATGGGATGGGAGAGACGAATAAAGACGAATAACCACGATGGAAATAAAGCAACTAGTTACTCACCCGAATTCTGTTCCTGGTGATGTTGTTGATGATTCGCCGTAAGATTGTTGCCAGCGCCAGCGCCAGCTACAGCGACGGTGCCGGAGTCGCCGGGAGACGCGCTCGCTGGCGGCTGTTGCTGTTCCTCTTGTTGTTGCATCTTCCTCTTTAACATCCTTTCCGAGGTTCCTCGACTCTGAGTCAGCAAAATCCAGCTGAGGTGATGAGAAAACGAGGGCGGGGATTTGCGGTCGTCGAGTGGAAAAGTCGATGATTACTACTCGTTGGTGCTAAGGTAAGATGACAGAGAAATACAGCGCCGCTGCTTACCTTATAAAGCTTGGAACAAGGCCGACTCAGCAGATGGATACGGCTGCACGAGTACGTAATGAATGGGTGGTACTGGGTGGGGGATTCCGAAACTCCGAAACCTTACCTACGAGGGAGATATGATGCCGTGCTTACGAAGCCATTTTTTCTGATTGTTGCTGGTCTCGTTTAAATCCGAAGCCAATCAAGTTACGGATGGGATTAGAGTGGGACCAGTATTGGACTCAGCGGTCACAGTCCCCCACACCGTGTACAGTTAACAAGCCAACTAAGGTGATTTACGAACGCCATAGGCTACACCGTGAGTGAGTTTAATTGCTTGAGAATTCGGGAGCCTCTACGAATACAGATAGTTTATATTCCAATTCTTGTCACTTTCTCTTTTCCTTTTCCTATATTTTTTTTTCCACGGCGATACGGGGAAAGTTCACAGCTACCCATACGACCGACCGGGACATCTTGCAAGTACAACCTTCAACACTGTGTTAGCTCAATTTGTCAGCAAATCTCACAAGGCGGGGTCGGCAAACAATCGCAATACGGGGGGGTACGGGGTATTATGGATTGCGGCGTACAGCGGTGGGCAAGGCACCTGCTGCATTTGGAATTCCTCTAGAATGCTCCGTAATAAGGCACCTCGTGATAACACTACACGTAGGTAATATAAAGTACCTTTCTCGAATTCGCTGCCAACATTATTCTGGACGTGGCCACACGGACGTTGAATTCTTCGCTTCTATTGAAATGAGTAGCAGCATCCAGTCCAAGGTTCCATTATTCGATATCAAGTTGGAGCATGATCACGGGTCCGGAAGATGAGGCTAAAGACACTCGAACCAGCCCCGGTGATTTTCCATGTCCCATTCCGCATCAACATCTTTCAGCTGAGTCTTCGCGGGGCAAGATCAGAACCGTATCGACGCGTAGACGGAGGCTGGACATTGTTGTAGATATACAGGAAGTGAGGGAGCCATCCCATGATTGCAGCCGCCATTGGTACAGGTCATGGTAGGATAAGCCCATGTGTCGTCGTCGATGGTAGCGGCGGAATACCAACTACCATCAAGACATAGGGATATCCGTCTTCACTTCTCTTCGTCTGGTAGATGTAATGACACGAGAAGAATAGTCAATCGTTTTCTGCTGGGGACACGGCAGCCTTGCTCTCCAAATGAGGTTCCCGTAGACATCGCCGGATAATTATACACTCATAAGTGCGTACAGAGACGCCTTCACGAGTTTCGTTGATAACAATTGAGAGCGTTCGTTTGCCGTTTCAGCATACTTCACTTTTTTGGGCGGCTTCCAAATGCTAAATGCTTTCTTTACCAACGTTGACGTCGTGCGATATCAGGGTACTTTTATATTGCCGGAATGAGTGATGATTTCAGTGGTGTTCCTGAAGTACTTTTCTAACAAGCAGTTTACATTTTGCCCATCCCCTCCTTCGCTCCCATCTTATCAGAGGCCCGTCTCGCTCTTTACCATTTCTCTCCTGATCTCGCAATAAGTCATCGTGCGTCACCTCATCTGACTTCAGGCAAACAACCTCGGAGTTGCCTACGTTGTAAAACTACTTGCGGGATAATGGGACTCCAATTGATGCTGCCTAGACTCCGACCGACCCTCTACTCTGCCCAGCCCAGGCTGATCCTCCCATCGACGAGACACCACAACACACACGCCCGCACAATGTCACAACAAGCACCGGCGCCCACGCCAAAGTTCTCGCCAGGTGCCGATACGGAGACCCTACGTCCGGCCGTCGACAAGCTGCTGCGCGAATCAGGCGGCCGCTGGACGCTCTCCAAGGACGGCGAGGCCGTGGAGCGTAACTTCAAGTTCAAGACGTTCACGAAGACATGGGTGCGCTGAGGACCAACCACTATTTTCGCCACATTATCTTGTTCCAGATGGGGGACTCGGGAGCTAATGATTTACAACTCAGGATTTTATGACCGCTGTGAGCCTACAGTGCAAGATTCGGAATCACCACCCGGAGTGGTCTAATGTGCGTGGCAAGCATGTCAAATATGACTTTTTTTCCTTTCCATTCCCCCCCTACATTTCCATTATCAAGCCGTGTCATATTCAGGCTTCCATTCCCTGGCCCCCTCCGCCCATGTACCTGCTTAAACATTCGTATTCTGATCCTCGCAGGTCTATAACACTACCTTTATCCGCTGGACAACTCACAATCCCAAGGGCCTCTCAGACCGGGATGTCCATCTCGCAGCCCTGTGTGACACCCTGGCCCGGGACTTTGGCGAGGTCATCGAAGACCCGAGTCCAAGTAGCGTTGATCAGAAGACAAACACCATGGGTGACAGGCCTGACGAGGCCAGTTGTGCGATGGGCCAACTGGCAGGTGCGGCAGTCTCTGCTGCTGGGGACTGCTGCGGGAGGAAACCCCAATAAATCCTTGTGACAGAGCGCATCCGGTGCTGGACGACTCCATGTGGGAGACTTCAACCTCATATTTCATAAGCGCGTATCTAGGTGCACTGTTCGGATGGCCCGAATAGGCGTGTTTTACTGTCATATTAGTTGCATTAATTAAGTATAGTATGTTGCATGTGATACCAGCAAGCCCAAATATGTACAACAGGAGAGCCCACGGGGCCTCCCTTGGCCAGCCTTTGCAAAACGCCGCTCCCATAGATATGATAATACGCATGGCTAGATGCTCCTTGCTGATACATCCGCCTCTTTTGTAGCGGACACTGAATCACTCATCCTGGGAAGGTAACTTCTTTTTACCCTACCAGTTCCTTCCATAATGTGCCAGCCTTCCACCTTCGCTGTGTGAATGCTGCGCTGCTCACCTGCCTGCTGTTACAGACCTGTACCTCTGCAGAGGTCAGTATTGAACAGCAGGATGCCAATTTTGCGTTGCCGCAATCAACGGAAACAGCAGTCTGTGATGCCACGGCTTTATAGCCATCCCGATACATGGGCATACAGACACATAGACACGGTGTGTCTACTGTTGCTTCTGCGCCTTGATTGCCTTGAGCTTCTTCTCGCGGCGGCGCTTGTTGGCTTCAACACCAGCCTCGGTATCGAGCATGTAGTCCCACCAACGGAAGCTGGAGGCATAGTTGCCGATGAACTTCTCGTGGTGCAAGTCGTGGTGGTCAGCGCCGGCCCAGAATGGCAGGAAATGCCGTAGGCTCCAAGGGAAATCGTAGCCGCTGTGCGCGTCAATGGCTTGGAAAAGGCGGAGAGTGATCCAAAGATACATGGTGATAAGGTGAAGGTCGCCGGAGAGGGAAACCCAGAGGATAGGGGAGCCGATAATTCCGATACCCAGGAGCATGACCTCAATCGGGGACGCGTACTCAGCAGCCAAACCGAACGGTGCCGAATAGTAGTGGTGCATTTTATGGATGGCCCTGTACAGGGGTCCATGGTGCAGCAGGCGGTGGAACCAGTAGTGCCAAGCATCTTCCATCACAAAGAAGATGGCGATGTGCATGGCCATCTTCCACAGGGGAGGGAAGGGAACACCGAATTCCATACCGCAGTAGGTAGCAAGGGGATGGAACAGCCAGATTTGTGGGAGCTCGACCGTGAAGTGGGAGAGGAGGACGACGTAGGTGCACTGCCATTGCTCCTTGAGGGTGGGCATTTTTTGCTGGTCATGGGGTCAACTCTTGCACCGCGAAACGTAGACAATGGAGCCACACGTACCACTTGAATCTTATACTTGTGGAAGTAGGGGATGAAATCGGCGATGATGAAGGGTAGACTGCGGCCGAAGTAAACAGCCTCGTGCATGACGAAGCTCATGATTCCGGTCGCTAGTATGTCATTCTGCATCCAAAGGTACCAGGCCTAGAGGAGATTCAATCAGTGTCGGCGTTGTCATGACGTTCGCTTCCTTCAAGAGAGACGGGGGCAGGGTAAAATTTCCGGGATGGAGAGGCGACATACGGCCCAAAGACGTTCGGCAGTGTTCAGTTGCACGTTGTATTTTGACACCTCATCGAGGACGCTGAAGTAGTCCTGGGTCTTGTTGAGGGCGACCGAGACGATTGTTGAGTTTCTGTTGATTGCAGTTTGTGTCAGTGGTTTGGCCTGGGACGTGGAGATGAGCCGCATGGAAAGAGGTCAATGGATACTTACGTGAAGTCCATGATGACAGCCAGAGACCAGAAAAAGTTCCCTCGCCCTTGTGTAGAAGGCAGGGTGAAAGGAGCGTCCAGGGGGAACAATGTGGGTAGAGAATCGGAAGAAGAGGACCCCAAGGACGACGCGACTGTTGAAATAAAAAATAAAAGGAGGAAGGAAATGGATAAATATGGGTACGGCAGTACTTCGTACGGATACGATAAAGGGGACTGACTACCACCTTACCTACCTAAGGTACGTACTTCGTTCAGAGATTAAAAGAACAACGAGTTGTCGTAGGTCAGGTGTACCTTATTTATCCATGTGCAAACTGGACCCACCTATTGCCCCTGATGATAATGATATTGTAATTTTAACCAATCGCATAACGGCATGATCATGATGCCACTTTCCCCCGATGGGCTTTCCGACTTCCGTGGCGTTGGAATCCCCTGAATTCTCAGTCCGACACTGAATTTCAGGGTGTAATTAATTATTACTGGATACCTAGGTACCTAGGTAGGGTAAGGTAGGTGCTGGTCATTAGAAAGCCCTGCGACTCTTCGACCCTTCCACTTGGGTATCACAGCCCAGTTAGGTAATAAACCGCCACCTCAACGGTTTACCTGATGGCAAAGTGTGAACCTGCAAAATTCGTGCGACAGGCTATGACAATACATCGAGTTCACATCATGCGGTTGTGTTGACTGCGTTGCCGAAGCTGGTCCGAAATAACCGTTATCAGTGAAGCATCTCTTGAAGAAATCGACAGTGTTTGCTTGCTACGGTAGTGCCACAAGATACTCACTGGCGTGGCGGCACCCCAGCAGGAGCATCCCGAATACGAGAGCAACGCGGTCTTTGATTTTATGTACCTAGGTAACAATATCACGGGATCGTTCGATCATTCCATTGACTTGAAGGTCCTTCCACTGCGCCGAGTGCCTATGGAGTAATACTACGAAGTAATTACCTATTGTACCTATCAAGGACTTTTAACACAATCGTCGGCAGCAGCAATTTCCGTACCTTCATAATGGGATGATGCTTCCCCATTATCGCGTGGTCTGCGTATCCTGTTGACATCCAGAAGCCAAAGGCGAACCAACCAGCGGCCCCGCAGATGGACCACGCCTCACACTTCGAGAACGGGACTCCATTCTTTCCCAGCTCGAACGAAGGAGTAACACTGGGAGAACACACCAAAACGACCCCTCATTTCTCAACGCAGTATGAATCGTTCAAAGCCCGCCGGGATCCGAAATCTACGCTGGTAATTGTGTACTAAGCATCGGGCAAAATAGTGCGAGGGATCTTCCCATCGCTTATATCCGTTTCCATACGCCCTTACTGAATTACCTGGGTAGGTGGTCAGAGACACAGTCTCTAACGAGACTCTTCCCAAGACAAAAAATGTTCCGCGTAGAGAGTCATCATCCCACGGAGGCAGGCCGACTTCCATTCTCCGTAAGGTAGGGTTATTTATTTCGTGAGTAGTAGTACTACAGTCAGAAGTACAGGGTAGGTCAAGCGATATTAATTACAGTGTACTTTGGTCTATATCTAAACATCGGCAGTAAGGTAGATATAAGTCGTGCCGGCGTTGCAATTCTAACCGTAGAATGTCATTTCTAAGCAAAGTACCGCCACAAGATAATACACGTAGTTTGAACAGAACAGTTCATCGAAATAATACTCCGTAGGTATGTATAGAAAGATCCGGCGCTAGAAGTGGCGCTGGGTTGAGGCGAAACTTATTAGGTCCCTAAGGCCCCGTTCGATAATCTCACTAACTTGTTGAGAAACATTAATAAGTAAAAAAAAGGAATAACTTATAACCCACCTATGATATAAGGACCCTTTTTATATGATATTTTCAGTATAACTGTATTTTTTATATATTCCCCTATTATTCTCTATTCTTCGAGGTACCACGCTAATATTAGGTGCCCCTACTTAGGAGATAGAGGCCGGGTATATAATAGGACCACGACGGGTTCCCGTATAGACGAGACCGGGCTCCCGTCTTAATATAGCCATGGCTGCCCTGGGCCGATACCACTATATAGGGCTATAGCCTAGGCTTAGGCGTAGATATCCGTTTACGATATCCGTTTAACTATACTAGCGTTATATTAGGTGCCTGTAGCAGTGGTTATAATAGGTCCCTAGTGTGAACCTATAGGGGTCTAGGCGTGCCTAGTCTAAGACCCCTCGAGGTATAAATAAAGTAGTTATTATACTAGTAGATAGAATAGTCCCTCGAAGTAAATAAGGTAGCCCTCGAGGAAGTAAATAAAGTAGTCCTCGAGGAGTAGCGAAGCGTAGTCTTAAGGAGCGGAGGAGCCTCCCCTTAGAAGAGGGAGGCTAGCGATTAATCTGATTCTTTAGCTATACCCATATTCTAACCCTATTATAATCCTATTATAATTATACCTGTTTCCTTACTTAACCCTACCTTTTTACTCTTTACGATTATCTATTTAATATTTTAATCGCTCTACCCTTAAGGGCGCGAAGACCGTTAAGGAGAGTTACTAAGATATCTAATTATCACGAAATAAAGAATCCTACCTTCGATTTCGACAAGGCTACTAGCTAGTTTAAGTGGTAGCTCCGCGATAGCAAAACCGCCTTTATAGAAGATACTAACGAGGAATACGACGGGGACACGCTAGGAACTAACACGGCTCCTATTTCTGCTACCGTACCGGTACCTATTCCTGCCCCTATACCCGCTCCTATTCCCGTACCTACTACTATTTCTGCCCCTATTACCATTCCCGTCCCTTCTATAGCTATAATAGGACCCGCGTATAACCCTAACATGCCCCTATACGTAACCGTTAACCTAACCACGCTAGTAGAGGAATAATTAGACGAACGCATTAAGTGGATAAAGGCATAGAACTACTATAAGCGTAAGCTCGCTTATCTCGCTAAGCTTAAGGCGGATATTATTACCGTTATTATTACCGTTATAGCCGCTATTTATCCCGCTATTAATCCTAGCCCCGTCGATATTACTTACCAACGTATAGCTAAGCCTTAACGTTATATTATCGTAACCCCATTGGGATCCTAGTAGGCCCACGATATATCCACGACGTTATCTATACACGGGTCTACCACCTAAGCTAAGTTTAATTTCCCCTTACCTAAATAGGATAGTGTATCCTAGGCTAAGTATCGCACGTTTATCTAGGAAACTAACTAGCGGTTTAACCTGGATTCTTAATCCTTTCCTACGGACGCTACGAAGAACTACTTCGTTATATCGTGCCTCCCCTATTACTTTAAGGAATGCTAGTAGGCTAAACTACGATATAAGTATGATAGCGACTCTAATAGAGTTACCTGGGCCGCCCTATAGGCCTAGCTATCCTATTAGGTTAACGATAACGATACCCGCCTACGGGAGGTGGCGGTATAGATCCAGAGTGAGTCTATCTCCTCCTAGAGAGAGGGGGAGTCTTACGCTAAATTTATATAATAGTAGGAAGCCCTAGAGTCGGAACTGCCGGGCGAGCTCCCGGACTAGTAGAGGATTTAGATAGTACTGATAAGGGTTCTCCTACCTATTTAGGACTATATAGTGTTTATAGGGGTTCTTAAGGATTACTAAGACCTGGCCCCGGCCTGTTATAGGGCTAAGGCTTTAATTGTTACCGATAGTCTAGCCGTTGCTCGGATAGATTTCTGTCCGCTACCTAATAATATCGTTTCCGCTTGCGTGCCCCTGCCCCTGCTTATACTCCCGCACCTATCCCTTCGTCTGCCCCTGCATCTATACCGGCCTCTACTCCTAGTTACCCTATACGCCCTAGACCGTTATCGCACCTCGATTCTATTACCTACTATAACTATAACTAAAAGGGGCACTATACTACTATATGCCTTAGCCCTTATACTAAGCGATGCTTAAGTAATAGTAACCCGAATACCTAACCGGTATCCATATTATATCCTATAGTCGGCCGTGTCACGGGTAAGGTGCCCTAGGGATAATACCTACCTCGAGTAACCCCCTCTACCACTACTATACCGGTAAAGGTATATATATCCCTTCGCCGAGGTAGGGAATAGGTGTAGATATCGGCTCTCCTTAACGGAGACGCTGATATTAACATTTTGGATCAGTCCCTTCTAGGACCTAGTTAGGTTCCCGAGGGGCCCCCGATCCTAGTATCCTAGATTACGGAGGGATAAACGAAGATAACTCTTAGGTCCCTCTATAGAATTATCATTACTACCGATTACTAGGGTCGGAAGAGAGTATAGCGCGCCGAGTTCTACGTTATACAGTTTAATCCCTAGGGCGCCCGTATACTCCTAGGAAGACTATAGCTTATAGCTGTTAACCCTAACGTTAATTAGCAGTATAGCACATGGACTTATCCTTTATCCTACGCGGAACTTAGTATAGTTATATCCCTAAGAGAGCTGCGTAGAGTAGTTAGATAAGCTAAGTCTATTCTTACCCTAAACTATATAGGTTCCACGCGGGGCCTACGTATCGGCTATATCGGCCTAGCAGAAAACCCTTTAGTGGGATATAGAGATAAATTCTTAGAGGCCGGGAAACCCCCTACGCTACCGGGATAGTATTAAGATTTCGCTAACGTTTTTAACGTCGAAAACGCCGGACGGCTGCCGATACACTAGCGATAGGATTACGCGATTAAGGTGGAGGAAGGGAAAATGCCTCTTTACGGTCCTATTTATCCCCTTACTGCTTAGAAATTAGAAGTGCTGCGTTAATACCTATAGGACGCCGTTATAAAGGGATGGATTAGACTATTTACTAGCCCGGCCGGTGCCCCTATTCTACTTATCCCTAAGAAGGGCGGTAAGCTACGCCTCTATGTTAACTATAGAGGGTTAAATAAGGTGACCGTTAAGGACCGTACTCCTTTACCCCTAATCCACGAAATTCTAGATCGGTTATCGTTAGTGTAGTACTATACTAAGCTAGACCTTAAAGATACGTATTATTGGTTACGGATTTAGGAGGGCGATAAGTGGAAAACGGCGTTCCGGATAAAATACGGTCACTACGAGTACCTCGTTATACTATTCGAGTTAACTAACGCCCCCGCGAGCTTTTAATAGTATATTAACTAGGCGCTGATAGGTCTTATTAACACTATTTACGTTATATACCTCGACGATATCCTTATCTATAGTAAGGACCTGGTTACCTACCGCGTGCACGTCCGCGAGGTCCTTATAAGGCTTAGGTAGTAGTCCCTGTATACTAACCCCGATAAGTGTGAGTTTAAGACCCGCGATATTAAATTTCTAGAGTTTATCTATAGCCTAGACGGGGTACGGATAGATCCGGCTCGCGTTAAGGTAATCCGCAACTAGGAACACCCTAATAGTGTTAAGAAGATACAGGTCTTCCTAGGTTTTACGGGGTTTTATAGACGTTTTATTCGGAACTACTCTAAAGTCGCCGCCCCTCTTATAGACTATTTAAAAGGGGGCTATATAGGGGTCCTTATGCTTTTCTAGTAGGCCTAGACTGTGTTCGAGGAAATAAAACTGCTATTCTAGAAGGTATTAGTCCTGGGGTATTTTAATCCCGCCCTGCTAATACGTATTAAACCCGACGCCTCTGTTTTTATAATTAGGGCCGTTATTAGTTAGCTAGAGGATAGGCTATAGAGACCTATCGCGTTTATATTCCGTAAGCTACGTAGCGCCGAGCTTAATTATAGTATACCCGATTCTAAGCTTATAGCTATTATCGGGTCTTTTCGGACGTAGCGCCACTACGTGGCCTATAGTTAGAGCCCTATAGTAGTCCTAATAGACTACCTACACTATCGTTATCTACTAGATGAGCCAAAGCTTAAGGGCTAGCACGCACGGTGGCTTAAGGAGCTCGCCCTATTTAATTTTAAGATTCGGCACCGCCCGAGGACGTTAAACCCCGCGGATAGGCTATTAAGAAAGCCCTAGCACGCGCCCTATAAGCGTGCCCTGGTTACTAACTGGGCTAAGGCAGTAGAGTCTTTTTCTAAGCATTTTATAGGCTATATTGGGAACTAGCGTAGTTCCCGTATTACCCTAGTTTCTATTCCCGCTCTTAACTCCCCTTTGCCGAAGGTGGTAGAGGTGTAGGCGGATAATCTTTCTTTAGAGCCTATATCGA